TAAACATACGTTTGGTTTCATCAAAAGGATCCACTATTTCTCTACAAAATCACTTTTGAGAGATTCCACAAAGCTTTTCTTTCGTGGAGTTTATGAACTTCGAAACGCAGCGGGTTAACAATGGCAAAGAGTCCGACTCATCATTTGAACAGTTTCTTTCACATAAACCTTCTTTGGTGTTTATATAAAAAAGATAGAGCACATTGAATTACTTAAGTTGCCAAATTTGCAGGAAGATCCCACCAATGGTTTTTTCTAGATCACAGTTTGTAGTTTTTGTGAAAAAATGGCTTTTTCTTGAGCGGAGGCGCTGTTTGAATTTTCTTTTAAATGTCATTTTGTAGAGAATTAGTTAACCATTCTACTGATATCAAACGCATATTATTTGAAGAAGTCGAATAGAAGTTTTAGACATTTTTTTGATTTTCGGCGCCGACTCATTCTCCCCAACCCAATAGTTTGATACATCTCTGACAAATTTTTGCACAACTTTGAGCTGAACCGAACAAGCACTGCTTTCATCCTATCTGCTTTTAAATGCATCCTCCCTGGTACACTAAAACCCTTGATTGCTAGTGAAATGATGAAAGCCAAAGTACAGAACGAGTTTAATATGCTTACATAAAACTCAGCAGCGAAAGAATCGCCGTAAAATGATAGAAAAAGACATTCCCCTGTCAAATAATCATTTCCAGTGAAATGTTTCAATAACAATTCGACAAAGTGCAAAATGATTAATGTGGTGAATAAAATCTGAATTTAATCATTTCTACAGAAAAGTTTATTAAAAAATTAGATTATTACCGTAAATACTGTAATAGTACCCCACCCCCTCGTACAGTCGCGTAGTCGCAAAAGTTTTTTAATATTTCATTTTTTTTAAAGCACCCGTACTTTCAAAAAATGCGTCTTTGGTATGAAAAAATAGCCCTGAATTTCAGCTATTTTTTGATACCTAAGCGCACATTGTAGCATAAACCAGTGTCGAGAAAAACTCGTTCAAAGCTAGACTACGCAACGCTCCGCACCGTCATTATGGGGGTGGGTTACTAATAGAGTATTTACGGTAGTTATTGCAAAAATGGACTCCTCTAAAAGCTGGATACTACCGTATTTCTACCATTTAGCAAAAATTTGAAAGTAGCTAGCGATGCGCCTAAGCTACATATCTCTAGAGAGCTTGCAGCACCTACCTGGCCTGCCTATTTTTCAAAGCACCCGTACTTTCAAAAAATGCGTCTTTGGTATGAAAAAATAGCCCTGAATTTCAGGTATTTTTTGATACCTAAGCGCGAATTGTAGCATAAACCAGTGTCGAGAAAAACTCGTTCAAAGCTAGACTACGCAACGCTCCGCACCGTCATTATCTTTGATACCAAAAAATAGCCCTGAATTTCAGCTATTTTTCGATACCTATGCGCGCATTGTAGCTTAAACCAGTGTTGAGAAAAACTCGTTCAAAGCTAGACTACGCAACGCTCCGCATTGTCATTATCTTTGGTATCAAAAAATAGCTGAAATTCAGGGCTATTTTTTGATACCTAAGCGCACATTGTAGCATAAACCAGTGTCGAGAAAAACTCGTTCAAAGCTAGACTACGCAACGCTCCGCACCGTGATTATGGGGGTGCGGTACTATTACAGTATTTACGGTAAGTGTACTTAAATTCTGTACTAAAATAATGATACTTTACAATATAATAGACCTTTTAGACTTACTATTTTCGAAAATTGAATGCTAAAATTTGTTCTTAACTTTATTTTTAAAAAATAAAGCACTCTTTTAGCTATTTTATTTCAAATTTATCAATAAAAATGTAGATTTATAAAAAAAAAAACAAAAAAATCGATTCCCATCATCGATTTTTTTAAAATTCTCGACATTAGTAAGTCTAAAAGGTCTATTATATTGTAAAGTGTCATTCTTTTAGTACAGAAATTAAGCACACTTAAGTACTCTATTGTATTCGAAAGTACCGTACTTTTAATATAGAACAGAAGAGAATTTTTTGAATAAAAGCTTTCCCAAGTGAATTTGATCGATTAGTTTTGTTTATAATAAGAAAAACAACTGCTTAAATTACTGGTTTTATCTTAAAAATCTAATACTCTATTATTAGAACTCTTTATTTTATTATTATTTTATTCTAGTACTTTAGTACGATTCTAGTACTCTAGTACGATTCTAGTTATCTCGTACTCTATTCTAGTACTCTTTACTTTATTATTATTTTATTCTAGTACTCTAGTACGATTCTAGTTATCTAGTACTCTATTCTAGTACTCTTTATTTTATTATTATTTTATTCTAGTACTCTAGTACTATTCTAGTAGTCTAGTACTCTACACTAAGTACTCTATTGTATTCGAAAGTACCGTACTTTTCGATTTCCCATCATCGATTCCCATCATCGATCTTTAAACAAATTCCTTTAAAATCAATTAATTTTTGTTTTTTTCATCTCTCAATTTACAAGCAATCAACTATTTTTGCAAAAAAAGAGTTCCGGAAATGATAAGAACTCGATCATTTTCCCGTTTTAAAACATTCCTCTTTCATCTTGTCACTTCCAATCACTTTCTCTTTAAATTGTTCAAGAAATTTTGCTTATTTCGTTTCGCTAAACATTTTAATTTATTAAATCAATTAGAGAAAGGAGAAATTTTCTTGTAGAAATTCTTGGCTTGAATTAGGTTTAAGAATTCCAGCAAAAGATTATCATAGTTACCTCCAATCCTCAGCTTTTTACTCACTCAAATAACTTTTACTCTTCTACTCTTTTACTCGCTTTCAATCAAGCAATTCCAGCAATTCGAGCAATCAAGCAAGCAAACAAGCTGTTTGTCTGTCTGTCTGTCGATCAAGATTACTGTATCTTTTGAAAGAAATGTTTTAAAAACATTTCAAGAGAGACGCCAGTCAATAGCGCCAGTCAATAGCGCCAGTCAATAGCGCCAGTCAATAGCGCCAGTCAATAGCGCCAGTCAATAGCGCCAGTCAATAGCGCCAGTCAATAGCGCCAGTCAATAAGACAGTTTTCAGTTAATTTAAATACAATCGACTATCTCTATAAAGGAACTCTATATAGCGGAAAATGGTCATAACGGCGCTCTATATAAAAGAATGGAATCTTGATCCCAACCGACGCAAAGCTTATAACGCCGCACTATATAACAGAATGGAATCTTGATCCCGACGAAGCTCATAACGCCACTCTATATGACATAATGGAACCTTGATCTCGGTCGACGTTAAGCTTAAATTGGCACTCTATATAACGGAATAGAATCTTAGTCCCAACCGACGCTAAGCCTATAAAGCCGCTCTATATAATAGAATGGAATCTTGATCTCGGTCGACGCTAAGCCTATAAAGCCGCTCTATATAACGGAATAGAATCTTAGTCCCAGCCGACGCTAAGCCTATAAAGCCGCTCTATATAATTGAAAAAATTATTTCGTCCCTTCCATTCCATTCCATTCGACTCTACTTTTATTCTGTCATATAGCGAAAAAGACAAACTTTAAAATATGACACCCAATAGATCTATTGTTAATTGTTGATTTAACAATTAACGATTGATCTATCTTAGCAATTGATTTAATTGTTAAGATAGATCAATCGTTAATTGGCTGAAGCTGAATTGTTCAATGCCACACTAGGTTTGTTCTTAGATCGAAATGGATTCATCTAAAATCTAAATGGACTTTCTTTCGCAAAAGTTTACTTAAATATTTCTCTTGATTCGTTCTTCAACTTCTCTCTTTGATCCTTTTTGAACAAACAACGTAATCACAAAATTTTCTTGGTGTGAGTGGGCGAATTGGGTCATAAATGATGGTACTTGAAAAGAAAGACTTTAACGCCTTACATTTGAAATTGTTTTTCATTCTCTATTTCATTTTAATATTTGTATATCAATTGCCATTTCTCTAAAGTCTTTCAAATCGAATTTTTCTTTATAATTTTCAAAATTAGACTTCATTTCAAGGATTTCAATTTCTAAATGTTTCCTTTTTTCATTAACAATTATTTTTTTCGTGTTTTTTGTTTAGCATTTTTATTTGGCTTTTGTTATTCATTTCATAGAAAGCTCTGGTAACTTTGTTCTAGTTTTCAAGAGGAGATTAAGGGCTATTGAATGATTAGAATACTGTATTCTCTCTAATAGTAGTGCACTCCGCCGAGTTGATGACTATTTTACAGCTTCTAAAATTTTCACAGAAGCTCAACACTCAAATTATCCGCAAGATCTCATCGTCAGCCACATTTTCCGACCTCACATCGATAGGTTCTGATAAGCGGTTCTCGAGATTTCGAGGAATTTAAGCAACGTTCACTACTATTGTCTCTAATAGTAGTGTACCACCGAGTTGATGACTATTTTACAGCTTCTAAAGCTTTCCCAGAAGCTCAACACTCAAATCTCCCGCAAGATCTCATCGTCAGCTACATTTTCCGACTCCACAGCGATAGGTTCTGATAAGCGGTTCTCGAGATTTCGAGGAATCTAGGCAAACGGTGCACAACTATTAGGGAAAATATAGATATCGGTTATCACAGGTGGCCAGATAATGCATTTTGCAGATTAAGAGATCAATATGCCGTATTCTCTCTAATAGTAGTGCATCCCGCTGAGTTGGTGACTATTTTACAGCTTCTAAAGTTTTCACAGAAGCTCAACACTCAAATCCCCCACAAGATCTCATCGTCAGCTACATTTTCCGACCTACATCGATAGGTTCTGATAAACGGTTCTCGAGATTTCGAGGAATCTAGGCAACGCTCAGAGTGCAATACTATTAGAGAAAATACGGTATTTGAATCACTTGATTAAATGATGATCGAGTCGTTTTTAAATGTAAATTCAAATCCCAATTACATATGATTTTACTTTGATACTTGATCGTAATGGAAATCCCGATTTTAGACGAGATCGAGAGCAAGACAGAACCTCTCTCTTCATCCCCATTCAACCTCAACCCATCCACTCATTCAAATGCATCACCAATCACCGGTGAGTCACAGAAAGAATCTTTTCAACTCTTATCATTTTTTAGCTCTCTTTTTAGTTCATGTTTTTTTTGAAGTAAATCGATTTTTTTAGGGCACGAGCGGTGATTTCTATACGTATGGAAATCTGCCATCAGTCTCCTCGATTCAACGAATACCCCCAAGTCCAGCTGAATTCAGTGAGTAAATGAAAACCTAGAAACAGTACTGATTAAAGCAGTACTACAAACAGGACAGTATACTTCAATTTTGATTTTTATGAAAATTTACCTCTTCCTTTAGCTTACAATCTACATAGCTTACTACCTATCTAGGTTACTACCTACCTAGCTTACTACCTATCTAGCTTACTACCTCTCTAGCTTACTATCTACCTAGCTTACTATCTACCTAGCTTACTATCTACCTAGCTTACTACCTATCTAGCTTACTATCTACCTAGTTTACTACCTATCTAGCTTACTATCTTTCATCCAGCTTACTATCCTTCATCCATTGTAAACATTGTTGTAAACAGACTCAAGTTGAAGCTTTTCTCGTGCTAGACAACTGTTAAAGCTGATCGAATTTCGAAAACAGCACAAGCGTTTAAGACTGAAGTGTTCTTTGATCTGTAATCGCTCGCATCTGGTGCACTGAAGTTTCTAGATTTAAGTCAAAATTGCTTCAATTCTTTAGCAAAAAGTACAAAAATGATATTTGATTAGCTATTAGTTTATTTATTCAATTTATTTCCACACTAGAATCTAAAACTATGCTTTCTTTAAGCAATACTTTATCTCTAGCTAATTTAAACACTTTCAGATCACGCAAACAGCTCAATGGATGGTGGATATCAGATGGAAAGCGAGCTACCACCAATCAACCATTCAAATCCTCATCCATATCCTCAACAACAAATCAACTCGTTTCCTGGATCTCCATTAACGATTCAGGTTCGAAAACAATAAGCAAAACAAGCAAAACTTGTTTTTAAAAAGTGATTCTGCTTGATCTTAATCTTTTTTTTTCAAATTTATCTTTTCAGCAACTTTATCGATCCAATCAATCATCCAAGAAAGAGAAAGTAAAATTTGGGATTTGGATTTAGGATTTGGATTTGAATTTGAATTTGGATTTGGATTTGGATTTGGATTTGGGATTTGGATTTGGGATTTGAATTTGGATTTGGGATTTGAATTTGGATTTGAATTTGGGATTTGAATTTGGATTTGGGATTTGGATTTGGATTTGGATTTGAATTTGGATTTGAATTTGGATTTGGATTTGGATTTGAATTTGGATTTGGGATTTGGATTTGGATTTGAATCTGAATTTGGGATTTGAATTTGAATTTGGGAAACTCTAAACTTTTAAACTTTCATTCCTAACATTTAACAATCGATTTTGTTGTTATAAAAGAATTTTCAGACGAATCTACCACCAATCCAAATGACAGCAATGACACAATTCAAGATCAACCATTGGCAGAATAAGAATTTCGATAGTGGAGTGCAAACGATGAGCCATAGCCAGGTGAAGAACTTTAAACTATTAAGCTTAGTTGAATGTAGAAGATAAGGCTTGTAGCCAAAGCCTTGGCTTATAGATAAAGCCTTGGCTTGTAGACAAAGCCTTGCCTTGTCGCCAAAGCCTTGCCTTGTAGACAAACAAAGTTGTAGACAACTTGAAGACAAAACCAATTTCTTCCTTAGGTCCCTTCTGTAATGTCAATGGGATCCGTGCATCCACCTTCAATGATGTCTGGTGTCTCTTCCATGGCTGATGAGCTGGCAAGAACCGAACTCACTGATCAACAACAACAAAGATTCGAGAATATTCCGCTTGGGTATCGACAAGACTCGTCAAAAGCTCTTTCAGCGATGCCTTCACTTGTGCAATTGATGAGAGACACGGATGAGGTTTGAAATGAGCAGAAGCACGAGATCTACTTATGATATAGACAGAAAGCACATAGAATAGCTTTTCCGAATAGAATAGAAAAAGAAAAAAGTGAGCGGATTCGAACCCTCGAGCAACCGCTCGGAATCCCAACCCACTATCCACTACACCACGCAGCCGACTGGAGGTGGTGCACGTAGAGGCGTTATAAAGAGAGGCCAAAAACTTTTTTTTCAAATTGCGCTCGATTCAGAATTAGGCTCTCTTTATCAGGCTTATGGGCGCACGGTGGGACAATGCTTGCGTGGTGTAGTGGATAGTAAGTTAGAATACCGAGTAACCCCTCGAGGGTTCGGATCCGCCAGTTTTTTTCTCTTTGCCAAAACGAATAAAAAAATTTGAAAAAAATTCTAACCTTTCACTTCTAAAGTTATAGTAGATAGTAGATATAGTAGTAGTAGATAGTAGTAGACTTATCGTAGATAAAAATTAAAGAATAAATGTTCAGGTTGTTGTTCAAAAAGCTGTTGGCATTGTTCAAAACATTGCGCGACAAGATGACGATGAGAGACGAACTCCACCAGTGATCCGGGGTAGAGAAGTGCCCGAAACGCTTCGTTCGGTGATGATACACTGGAAGAACAAGCCTGTAAGTGTAGTGTTTCTCAAATAAAGAGAAAATATTTAGATGATTGTACGAATGTGTTTGGGTACATTATTTCATCTATGCAGTCGGAGTCAAGATCAAGAAACACTTCAAGAGATTATTCGACTTACCAAAGAGAATAACTGGAGTTTTCTAACGGATTTGATTACTTTTATTGGGTGAGTGATTAGGGGAAAAAGCTGAAAAAGCTGATTGATTTAGAAATTGATTAAAACTTGATTAGAACTGTGTGAGAGAATACGGATAGGGACGATGATTATTAGATATTTATTCTGAATTAGATTAAATAAGATTCCACAGAAAAGAGCCACTTTTCTGCACAAGAACTATTTTTTTTAGACGTGAAGAGAATGCTTGTTGGAGATACGCGACATTGATTCTTCACAGTATTGTTTCTGAGAAAAATATTGGAATTGAAGCACTGCTACAAGCAAGAAAGTATGCAATACAATCAAATAATCATCAAATTTCATCTTTTTCTTTTTAGATTAAATGCTCTAGTTGCTGTTTCATCTCGTCTTGCTCCAAATAATAGTGAGAAATTGTTGTCTGTTGTCGTTGAGCTTTGTCGATTACTTTGTGACAAGGATGTTGATTTAAAAGTGAGTAAACTGAAGATCTTTGAAATTCTAGAAAAATCAACTTTATCAAATACTTTTCAGCATAAATTCCTGGAGCTTGGTGGAATTCAAAAGTTGTTAAGCGTGCTGAACGGATGTCAGTACGAGAATCTTCTGTGGAGAACAACTCAGCTACTCAATCATTTCGCAAATTATGTAAGTGAATGTGTAAGTGAAGCGCCGACGTTGCTTAACTTGGCAGATCCAAAGGGATTGAACGTCTAGTCCCCTTCCTCTTCTAGGCCCGATATTTCGATTTAAATGCAAATTTCTTTACATCAATTAGCTCTAACTTTAGCTCTAACTTCAAATTTCTTATCTGTAAGTGAATCTAACGGACTTTTTATTTTCTCTTAAAGTAACAATCTTTTTCATAAAAATTTTCAATCCTTGGATATTTCGATTTTTTTGATCTGTCATCGCATTCAGGTGTTTCTACTTGCGCAGATCACCACCTGCTTCCATATTTCTCTATCCCTTTCTATTGTCATCCAGTGTTTCCTATCTTGGTTGTTCCTGGTTCGAAGTCTTCGACTTGCTTGTGCTGGTGGTGGTTGCACTCTAGTCATCTTTTCTCTGACCGTCGCTGCCACTCTTGTGCTCCAGTTGCTGGTCTTCCGATGGGCCTCTTCTGGTCTCATGATAGCCACTCTGTGATCCGTATCGTCCATCTGTCGTCTGGTCTTCTGGCTACGTGGCCTGAGTCTTTTTCTCTCGATCACTTCCACCGGATCTCTGAATCCCGAGAGCTGGCGCATATCCGTGGGCTGGGGCGCTCGGAGGGGAACCCACAAAAGTCGAGCCCACTATCCCGCGCCGACGTTGTTTAACTTGACAGATCGGAGGGGATAGAACGTCTAGTCCCCTTCCTCTTCTAGGCCCGATATTTCGATTTCAATGCAAATTTCTTTACATCAATTAGCTCTAACTTTAAGCTCAAATTTCTTGGCTTTGAGTTGTTGAACCCAAACTTTTTTAAGATCATTAGATCCACCAAGTCTTTCTCTATCGATTGGTATAAAAACTATTTAAATTGGAAAGCAGAACACTAAGATATTTGAGCTCAAAAACTAGATTGTCAAGATTTGAATAGGAAATATTAAATTCCACAATCAACAAGGTCAATAAATAGAATCAAAAAGTACCCAGTTGATGAACAAAACTAGATCAAACTAGACAAAACTAGATCAAATCGATTTCAGGAACCAGGCTGGTTGGTGGGTTGTGGAGCTCACAAAACCCTGTGTCGAATGCTCACTCATGGATCGCCTCGAGTCGTCAATAGTGCCCTAGAATGTTTGAGAAACATTAGGTAACACTTTAAGCTTTATGTTTAGACTTTAAGGTCAAGCTTTCAAAACCCAAAATGAGTTTATCCAGTTGAAATTTTAGCGACGTGAGTTGTGAGGATTCCGATTGTTTCCCATTGCTCTCAACCTTGCTACGATTTATGGGCAACGAAAATCTGAAAACCGTCCTCTACGCTGTACAAATTATGGGAAACATGTGCGCGAACAATAAAGCGAGAAAGGTTTTCTAGAATTTTTAACAATGCAAACAAATATTGAATATCCAGGAACACTTGATTCAAATGAATGGAGTCGGATTGTTGATTCGGCAGATCTGCGTTCCCTCGAGTAATCCACCACTTGAGGAGGAGTGTCACGTAAGTAGCTTGAAGATTGAACTAGCTAATGTTTCTAGGAAAATGCTAGGTTTCTTTAAAAGAAAAAGAAAAAAGTTGTCGTATCAGGGATCGAGCCCTGATCCTCTGGGCGGTAGCTTAATGCGTTATCCACTAGGCCATCAAGGGACCGTGGTTCGGCTAGAAAGAAGCCTTTTAAAGCAAATGGCCTGCTTTTCTCTAGTCATTTTTATCAACTAAACCTATCTTTTAAAGCTTTAAATTCTAGACTAAACCAAGAATTGTTTAGAGAGAAATCCTTGATCTTCTTCGATCTCTAAGCATGGGTCATGATCGAGTTCAAGAAGTTCAATTAATGCTCTTCGAAAATCCAGAGATCTATCTGCACAAGTTGATGCAATTGAGACCAGCTGTGCTGAAGAAAACGTTACAGGTAAGGTTTTTTTAAATGAAAACATCTAGCTTCGGGAAAAGCTTTAACAACAGAAATCAGACTTTTCAATCAATTTGGGATCTCTGTATCCGTGAGGCAACCAAAGAAATTCTAGGTTCTCATGCAAGCCGCCAAAAACGACGCAAACCTTGAACGCTTCTCCGCCACAGCTCTCGCTAATCCCCAAACGAGAGCCCGGATCTCTTTCCCGTCTTTAATCATTTATGTTCTCTATATTTCTTGTGAACATCTGCCAGAGGTATTTTAGAAAACTTGCCTTACTCAAAAAAATCTCTAGAATCAAATGATTGAAAACGTCTCGATTCCCGATTTGATTCACTTCTCAATGGCTACTTTACAGCAATTATGTAGAGATCGGAATTTGTTGAATGAGGTGAGTTAATAAAACGACGCTAATCTATAATACGAGTGTCTGTCCGTCTGTTCGTCCGTTTTTAAGCAAAAAAAAACGTGAAAATTTTTTTTAAACGTCATTACCGGGGTCGAACCCGGATCGTGTGGGCTGTAGAAAAGACCGCTGCTGACTGCGCCACGATTGCTAGCCGTTAGCTAGGCAACAAACAGCTAGTAAAGCTAGCCGTTAAGCGTTCGGTTTTTATAAACTATTACTTTAGATTTCTATGTTACTTGGACAGCCGAATCATTTGCTATCGGGGACAATCTTGCCGGTGTATGCTCTCTTACAGCCACAGATCAGAGAGGAGTCCGTAACCAGAAGTGCTCTTGGCCTCTTGTCTTCTATTGCAATCATTCCAGAGGTAAGCTTTAAACGATTGATCTCTTGATCAGTACTACCTAAAGTAGCTTCCACACTGGATTCATTTAAAGATTCAGACAAGAGATTCATTTAAAACCCTTCAACTTCTACAGTTCTTCGTTTTCAGTTGACTGCCTCATTCTCTTCAAATCTTCAACTAATCAAGACGATCACTCAGCACAAAGCCAGTCAAAATCAAACGATTGCCAGCTATGCGAATCGAGCTCTCACACTCATTCAACAAGGCGTTGAGCAAATGAAGAGCAATGTAAAATTTGAAAGACTTTCATTATCATCAAAATATTTAGTCGACTCAAAACTATCCAATCGAGCAACCCAGATCAAGTGGAACTCTAAGAAAATCATCATCTCGTCCACTAGAAGATCTTCAACAATATGTTTCCACTCATCAACCATCGCCGCAAAGCTCAAGTAGAGCTGAAGTAATACTTGAAAAGATCAATCAATTTAATAGCAACCTTTAGCAGCTTGCTGAATACATTGAACCAGTACCATCATTGGAAATGGCACGGAATGCCCCATCGAGAGAACCAGAGAATAGTCCTGATCAATCGCCAGCTGATAATTGGCCAGCTGTAAGTTTAGCTTATTAGATTTTCTATAGAATTCTTCTTCAAAATCGAATTCCAGGATCTGAATGATGTGCAGGATACACTGAATCCGTTTGTCAATGTGTTTTGTGGAAACGATCCATCACCGTCATATCAACGTTAGTGAAAGATTACTATATATAAAGCAGAAGAGACGTCTGTCTGTCCGTTTGTCCGTCTGTCCGCCTGTGCGCAAACGTGACGCTCCGTAATTACGCTTGCTCTATCGATTAAAAGACAAAGTATTCAGCTTTTGCGCGCGATATTTTGCTCCCCGGGGGTTTTCGGCTATGGAGAATCTGATTTTTAGGTCCATTTTTAAAAAGGAAGCCGGTTACAGTAGTTTTAGGAGCGGCTTACGGTAGTCATTTAAAAGAAAGAGCGTTTTCCGCTGGTATTGAAATAAACAATGACAATTCTCACTGGTTTTCAAGATTATTTAGGTTAAGCTACTAGTCGATTGTTTCCCAGAGACTAATGCGTTTTCAAAAACCTCAGTAATTTAGAAAACTATTACTTTTCTTCTGATTTTGATCTCATTTAAGTCACAGCCTGATTCCTCATCAAATGTGGATCAAAATTGAGGTATTTCGGTATTTCCTAAAGTAAATACCTTTTTTAGAAAACCCATTGCTGAGGCTATAGGTAGGATAGAATATTGGATTATTGAATAATAAAAACTTTAAATTTCACATCAAAGGGAGACTCACAAAGCCTTTTTTAGGAATTCACTTTATTCTTTAGTTAAAATTGGGGCAGATCAAAAACTTGCGCGCCGTCAGGCCTCGAACCCCCGACCTTTCGCTTATCGACCAACTGTGCTAACCACTACACCACATAGCATCTGGCCTTCCTTGCTCCAGAGAGAGTTAACTCTTTGCCATTCATTTCTTTTCATTCTTTCTCTTCCTTGTCTTCTATTTTTTTCTTTGACAAAGAAAGTGTCAATAGCTCAGTGGTAGAGCGTCAAGCCGATAAGCGAAAGGTCGAGGGTTCAATTCCCTTTGGCTCCAAATCCTTTTACTTTATTGCCAATTTCTAGAACCGATGCCATCCGAGTACCATGGTGACCCGAAAATGGATATGAGTGGACAATATGATGGAAACAATTGGACAGGATATCAAAACAATGCACCAAATTACTACCCACGACAACATTACCCAAATCCTCATCAACCCACACAATATCCAAATCAAATGGGCTACTATGAAGAATATCGATATGCGCCAGGCTCACAAAACGACTATCGACAACGACCACCCGTTCCGACACAGAATCAACGGCAAAATTATTCGAATTATCCGCCTCAATATCCCCAACAAATGCCATATGATGATAGACGATATCCACCGTATTGAATCTCTTACAGTAGCTATGAGTTGGCTTGTACTTTGTGCTCTTTCAAACGAACACTCTCTGGTAAACTCAAATTCTAGTGAAATGACTTTCTAGAGCACAATGTCCAAGTCGAATTTGGTCAAATTTCAAGACTCTTAACTAGGAAATACTTGTCATATTTCGCTCAGTCATTCCACTTTTTTAAGTTAAATTTTCTAAATTCAAAGTGTTTTAGAGAAGTCTATCATTTGAAATGCACTTTATTTCTGATTCCCTCTTCTCTTTCTCTTTCTCTTTCTCTTTCTCTTTCTCCACTCGTCCAACTGGTACCGGTGATTTGGAAATTTGTATTATTATCACTGTATTTTTGTGAATTCGTGCTTGCAAATGAGAAATATGTATTCTAAAGTGAATATCTACTATAAATAAAGCAGAATAAACGTCTGTCCTTCTGTCCTTTTTAAGATGAAAATTGCGAGAATTTTCTATGGAGATTATCTTTAGACAAATAGAATACTTTTAGATTTCTATTAAATAGATTTCTATTAAATAGATTTCTATTAAATAAATTTCTATTAAAGAGAATTTTCTACGGAGATTATCTTTATACAAATCGAATACTTTTGAGATTTCTATTAAAAGCTTAGAAGATGTGCTCAAAAAAAACCCTTTCCACGGAACATTATTCAAACTGAGCATCGATTCTCTTACTTTTTTTATAGATTTAAGCTTTAAGAGTAACATTTGGATAATTCTTTAAGTTAACTTTGTAATTAACCGATGAAATTTACCAGTTTCAAAAAGCCATTTGCATCTTTTATCCAAAAAAAACCATAAAAAACACATGGTTAAAGATTTTTAACAGAAAAGATTTAAATAAATCATTTGAGAGCCGTTAAAACCTGGTGAAAGCCGTTAAAACCTGGTGAAAGCCGTTAAAACCTGGTGAAAGCCGTTAAAACCTGGTGAAAGCCGTTAAAACCTGGTAAAAGCCGTTAAAACCTGGTAAAAGCCGTTAAAACCTGGTGAAAGCCGTTAAAACCTGGTAAAAGCCGTTAAAACCTGGTAAAAGCCGTTAAAACCTGGTAAAAACCGTTAAAAACTGTTCATAAAAAGCTTGAGATTGATTGGATAGTTGTTTTGAGCGAATCTTCAAAAATTTTAATAAAAATCTCAAAAACATCTTATTTTTATCCATCTCCGTAGAAAATTAATACAATTTTCATATTAAAAAAGGAATTAAACCGATTCAAAAAGTTACAACCAAGTGATAACGCAAAAACTGTTTAATAATTTGAGGTATTTTATGGATTTTGTTTTTAGCTAGGATTGAACGGATATGGACTAGAATTTGGGTAAAATTAAAGAGAGTGGATCCCTTTTAATATCCTACCATCTGCCCGACAACCTCGACAACCCGACTCAACTTCTCCGATGTATTAGAGGAGAGTCCCTGCGAAATCATCGACCTGAACTGCCTTTGTATAGATCCGGAAGATATATATCTTTATTTACATTAGACGAATAGATTACAAATGAGTGAAACGGGAAGGAGGACTCCAAGTGAGAGCCTCACTTCTCCTAGGCAATCCCAAGGACGCAAGGACTCAAGGAAAATAAAAAAAAAAAAAAACAAAAAAAGAAAAATAAAAAAAAAAATAATTTTTAAAAGAAATTTTAAAAAAAAATTTTAAAAAAAAAAAAAAAAGGGGGGGAAAAAAAAAAAAAAAAAAAAAAAAAAATAAAAAAAAAAAAAAAAAAAATAAAAAAAAAAAAAAAAAAAAAAAAAAAATTTTTTTTAAAAAAAAAAAAAAAAAAAAAAAAAAAAAAAAAAAAAAAAAGGAGGAGGGGGGAAAAAAAAAAAAAAAAATTTTTTTTTAAAAAAAAAAAAAAAAAAAAAACCCCGAGAAAAAAAAAAAAAAAAAAGGGAAGGAAAAAAAAAAAAAAAAAAAAAAAAAAAAAAAAAAAAAAAAAAAAAAAAAAAAAAAAAAAAAAAAAAAAAAAAAAAAAAAAAAAAAAAAAAAAAAATTTTAGCTAAAAATATAAAAGTTTATTTGAAGATTGGGTTAAAAGAGATTGTTGTTGTTGTTGTTGATTTGATCTGTCTTCGCACTTAGCGCAGATCACAACCTGCTTCCACATCTTACTGGGGCAGAAGTGTAGTTGTCGTAGCCGATGACACTCCGATGGCCGGGCTGGGGCGCTCGGAGGGGAGCCCATGGGAGTCGAACCCACGACTAACCCGCGCCGAAAAGCGATTCTTTAAAGGTATTCTCAAATCATTAGTCAATAGTAAAAGATTGTTTTAAGGCACAAAATTAATATATACCGTAAATACTGTAATAGTACCGCATCCCCATAATGACGATGCGGAGCGTTGCGTAGTCTAGCTTTGAACGCGTTTTTCTCGACACTGGTTTAGGCTACAATGCGCGCTAAGATATCAAAAAATAGCTGAAATTCAGGGCTATTTTTTGATACCAAAGACGCATTTTTTGAAAGTATGGGCGCTTTAAAAAAAATGAAATTTAAAAAACTTTTGCGACTACGCGACTATACGAGAGGGGCACTATTACAGTATTTACGGTAGGTTTATTATTGTAAATCTAGATCCACCAAAATCACAACCAATCCTTTTTACTCGCTGTAGAATTTTGCGAGTTCACTCAAAAGAACTTTAAGAAATTTTCGAATCATTGGATCTTTGATCCCACATCCGGAACAATTAGATTCCAATTTTTTTTTTAAGAATTCCTGCTGATTTTGCATTATATCTTATCAGAAAAACTCGTCAAAAAGATTGGCTTTTTTTCCCGCCAATTCATAAGACTCTACGAAAAAAAAAGAAGTTTTTGCTAAATTTTGCAAAAAAAACGATTCACAGCTTTCACGAGAGTTTGGCTATAAAAAAAGTTTTTCCTTTTGACTTTTGACTACTCTAACTTCTTAAGAACTATTGTAGTATAAATCTAATATTTCTAGGTTACTGTAGCACTTCTCTATTACTTTTAAACTTACTCTAGCTCTAGTGAATAAGCTTTTATGTATAATAGCGTTAGAAAGTTACTTTTTGAGTTTCTTTAGCACTTGTGAATTACTTTTTAGCCTACTTTAAAGGCTAGCAAATAAGTCTTAATAGACTCCTTAATAGACTCCTTAATCGACTCCTTAATAGTCTCCTTAATCGACTCCTTAATAGTCTCCTTAATCGACTCCTTAATAGTCTCCTTAATAGACTCCTTAGTAGACTCCTTAATAGACTCCTCAATAGACTTTTGCTACTGCTAGTACGTAGAACTTTTGAGCTAGAAAATTTCAGATTTTATTTCTCGATTTGCTAAAAGTTGTGTTATTTTTAAGCTCAATTTTTAAATGAATATCATTTAGAATCAAAAGCTTGAATGGAGGAGAAGCTCTTCTTTGTAAAATGCCTCCTTTACGCGCTCTCGTGTTCGGGAACAATCATGCTGCGCTCAATTTTCGCCAATCTCAATTTCCCACTTGTTCGCCTTTTCAACAAAACTTCAATAGAAGTTTTAAATATTGATGACAGGTAAAAAAGCCGTTAAACTAGCCGTTTTTTCAAATATAAAAAGCACTTCAATATAATAAGCGCTCAAATATAAGAAGCACTCAAATCTAAGAAGCGCTCAAATATAAGAAGTTCTCAAATATAAGAAGTTCTCAAATATAAGAAGCGCTTCAATATAAGAAGCACTCCAATATAAGAATAGCCTCTTTGAAGCGTTTGTAATGTAACCTATTTTTTTTGATTTATAATATAGTTATTTTATTTTTATATATACACGCATGATCTCTTGTTTCAAAACATTTTCTAATCGGTCGACCAGTTTTTCTGATCGGAAATACAGTTGGAGAGCCGCGCGATACTAGAACTACAAGTTAATTGTTAGAATTGCGTTAGTTAGAATTGTTCAGTGGTTTGCGTTAGTTAGAATAAGCTAGAATTGCGCGGAAAGAAGCTATGCCAAAAGCAGTCACCAAATCATTACCAAATTAACTAATCAACCTACCAAAAACGTTTAAGTTTATCACTTTTTAAAGACCATTTGATTAAATTTTACATAAAAAAGATTGTCATCGATAAGTATACATTCTGAGTGTCGCCCCCGAGTACCCCCTAAATCCCCTCCTTGCCAGAGGCATTTCTCGACGCACAATTTACCAATTTCGCTGTTTTTTGTTTCATTTGATAGAGGAGAGTTAGACGCATCGAATGAAACCAAAAACAGCAAAATGGGTAAATTGTGCGTCGAGAAAAACGCAAAATGCCTCTGGCAAGGGGGGTACTCCGGGGGCAGAGGGGATACACAATCTATATCAATAAGTATCAAAAAATCATTCAATTCAAAGCCTCATTGTTCAGTGGAACGTTGATGATGTCAATTTGCACGACTTTCATCGCCATCAGTCAAGTGCTCATGATCGCTTTGTTGATACCGATTATGGCGTGGAAAGGAGAGAAATTCGTTTGCGTTCAAGTGAAGTGAGAAAATACCGGCTACAGTGCCACTTATTAAGAATTTATAGCCCGGTTATAGGTAAACTGTAGCCTTACAAAGGCCGATGTGCAGTGCGTGAGAGGGTACCGATGGGGCAATGATTATTTGGATATTTATTCCGATTATTATTCCGAATATAGCACAATCACTAATCTAGAAAATACAATAAAATAGAATCAATCGTTGGTTCAGTGTTTCAAAGCCAAAGAAAAGCAATACAAAGTGGGCCGCGTCCCTTTTTATCACACAGATCTTTAGTGGAAGGACAATAGAATCAGAGATATTCAAATCAGAGAAAAAATCAAATTAGATTTCACAGAAAAGAGCTACTTTTCTGCACAGCAGATACACTACTGGATAATGAAATATTATATTTGAAAAAAGATCGTCACTTTCGCGCGTCTGTAACTCCCTTGTCTTTGAGTTTAAATTATTAGTGTTATACATTTTCTGAAAGCTCTTTTTAAGGGCTACACAATGGTAATATTCATATTTAGAAATACGGTAAAGACAAGGGAGTTACAGACGTACGAAAGTGACGATCTCTTTTCAAATATAATATTTCATTATCCAGTACTGTATGTATCTAAGGCAAGAAGAAAGTTGCGTTTCATTTTTATTCAAAGAAATGAAGAAGACTGTATGAAGATTGTCAGAAAGAAGCCTTTTAGTTCTTTAAAATTCACAAAGCCAATAAGAAAACCAGAACAAGTAGGGTTTTTCGTGAAGAGAGAAGAAATGAAGAGAAAGGCCTAAATATTAATATTACCATTGTGTAGCCCTTGAAAAAGAGCTTTCAGAACATGTCTAACACTAATAGTTTAAACTCAAAGACAAGGGAGTTACAGACGCGCGAAAGTGACGATCTTTTTTCAAATATCATATTTCATTGTCCAGTACTGTATGTGTCCGTTTACGTTCTTTGTAAACCAAAAAAACCCAAGCTTTCATCAAATCAAGAAAATGAAATCCTTTTGAATACCCTAACTTTAGATTCATTCTCTCGATCATCGGCGGTGTATTGCTGACTCTTTCTTGGTGTCTCGAGTCGGCTTTCCCATTTCTCGTCGGTATTTTTCTCGTCTTTTCAGCAGCCTCAATTGTCAACGTTGCGGACACGCTATTCCTCACGAAAATCGCTCCCAACAAGCATAAAAGTTCGAATTTTTTTTTATCATAAACTAGTAGTGAAAAGCTTTATTCTTGAATTATCCTTTTAAATATTTCCCTCTAGATTTCTACGGTTCGCTTATCGTGCCAGCTACTTCACTACAATTTTTTCTAATGATGTTTTTAAGTCGAGATGATGTTTTTGGAAATGATAAAAATTGGGGATGGATTATTATAATTTCTATGGTAAAAACGAAATTCTATACTTTAAAGAAAACTCTTCTATACTTTTAGCTTCTCTGCACATTGAATTTATTGATTGGCTCAACTCTGCCGAACGATTTCGAGAAGAAAAGTGATCAAGGGTTGATGAAATTTACGAAATCCTACACAAAGCACACACGACAATTGCTCGAGGAGCGAGATCTCAGAAAAGTGATAAAACTCTTGCAATGACTTATCGAAAAGAAATTCCAGACGCTTTACCTTTTAATCATCTCTCAATTGATGTTTATTCTCTGCGTCTCACTAATTGAAGCCACATTTATCATGCCGATTTATAAAAGAGAGGGAATGGATCAAAATTCGGTAATTCTAAATAAATTTGAAATTTTCAGCTAATCCCCAAATCGTTTTGCATTTGTTCAGATCCTCACAATGAAAACGATCACCTACTTTGCGGCTCTAGTTCCGGCTTTTCTCGGCCCTTTTCTCATCAATAGTCTCTCAAAGAAAACTCTCGCTATCACTTTTTGCCTCACCAATGTTGTAAAGTCACTCGGCCACATGATTAATGGACAACTCAAGTCAAAGTTATTATGTGAGAAGAGAGCAAATCGGATAGAACAAGGAGAGTTTAGGTTATTGCAATTCAATCATCGAGGGAGCGGTGACAAGTTGTGGGATTGTTTCCTTGCCTTTATTATTAGCTGACGAATTACTGCCAGCTGAATACGTGGTAGCTGGAAGTCAAGTAAGTGTACGAAAAAAGCGGAATTTCAGTTGATTCAGATAACTCTACTGATCTCTTACGCCATAGCATCAATTTCCAATCCAATTGTGCCAATTGCTCTCGAAAATTTCTTTTCGATTTACATTTTGCTATCAAGTTTACTTGGAATTGGACTTTGTTATTTATTCGTTAAACTTCTAAAGCAAATTGAGAGCAAAAAGGTCTTGAAGTTGAAATGTTTTTCAATTCAGAAAGTTTCAGACGAAGTCTTATTTGGCCGAGAAGACTCCCCTGCTCATTCCTCCAAAACCCTTTTGACAATTTATTATCTCATAAAGCCAAGGTGCACAATTGTGAATCATAAAGAGAGCAAACGCAACCAATAAATAAAGCTAACTTTGTAAAAAATGACACCACAGGCAAACTTACATTATGCACCTTAAAAAATATCGAAAAAATATTGAGCGCAAGCAATATTCACAGTTAGAAAAGAGTCCCACGTTAAAGAACAATGCCACTATATTGACTACCCGACAATTGGGCGAGAACTTTAACATCGAAAAAATAGCAATTACGAAAACTTTGATCGATAATTAACAAATATCGGAAACAGTCGTCTCGAGCTTTCCATTTTTGAAAACCGTTTTGAATTGTTCGGGAATCGGTAGTTCGATAAAATCACCATCAGGACCTCCGGGCACAAGCACATTCATTTCTGAGCTCTAAAATAGAATACGTTTTTAGAATTGTATTGACAACCAAAATGAGTAGAATAAAACCCTAGCAGGAAAATAATACCTTTGAAGTGACGATTTCCGCTCCAACGGAAGCCTCAGACAAGTAGATTTGACATCCGTCGGTTTTTTGAATTGACACAGTCGGTAGTTCTCCAAGAGTCTAAATTTTACCACGTCGTAAGTTTCCACAATTCAAAGTAAACCTGCAGTTGAATCGATTGACAGTTGATCGTTTCAACTTGCGCCACGATTCCATCAAAAGCGACGGCCGTCTTTTTGCACTGATCCAGCGTCACAGAGTTGCACTTTCCATTGATTCTAGAAATTTTCCAACCATGTGCATTTAATTGAAGTATTACCTAACGGTGCATCCCTCACATTTGAAGATGTAGACGGTGTGCTTCTTGTCGGTGACATTCACGGTTATGTTCGGGTCACCTTTGAAGTACTCCTAAAGTAATGCAATTATTAAAGTACCACGCCCATTTGACTGATAATTGATAAACAGACACCCACCACATTCCATTGTTTTCCATCTGCAAACTCCAGCTTCGGTGGTTTTTGAACGGCAGCTGGTGCTTTAGTTGGAGAAGCCGAGCCACTCGTAGCAGAGCCAGCAGGAACAACATTCTAAACAAAAAACAATAATAAAGCAATACGAGTTTTACAAACGAACCGCGGCACGAAGATTCGGATTCTTATGAGTCTGCATATCAGCCGTCACTTTCTTCAATTTGCCCGTGATCGCTTCTCCCTGATTGAGCTCGGCAAACAGCGCATCTCTTTTCGCATCATCACCCGATTTGGCTGCCGGAGCTGGCGCAAAGAGATCTAAAGACTTGATTTTATAAATGTCAAGTGAAGAAACAAAAATTAAAAAGTAATACTACCCCTCCTGCAATTTTTTTTAGAAATTGATGACAGAAACTAAAATCAGCAAAAAGAACCTGCTGGAATTGGTGGGGGTGGTGGTGGGGGAGGTCCTGAAGGAGGTGGAGGTCCACCCGCTGATGGCGCACCAGATGAAGTTGGTGCCACAGATCCCTAGACAAACATGTACCAAATATTAAACCAACAATTTACCGGAGCCGAGTTCCATATCAATCCAGTTGTGTGCACTTTCCTCACGAAATTGTAGAGGTTTGTGATGATTTCCTCGAGCGCCACCACCCAGTCAACGTGAAGAGGAGCTTTATCCTGAAAAAAACACTTAAAATAAAAAAGCTACTACTTTCTGCCACCTTGTAATCTTTGCGCACTCTGTTGGTGAAGAATTTCGCAGCCTCGAGCATATCCTTGACAAATGGGGCAGGTGTTGGTTTCTAAATTCAAATGACCAAACTCTAAACTTAATGTCAATAAACATGCCTGTGCAACCCATCCAATTGCTTGAATCGCTTCCGCCTGAGCCGAGATGTGATTGAAATGTTCTTCTTTTCTTTTCGAATCCTTGAGTTGATTAAGAGCTTGCATTTTATCCTAAAATAAAACAGAACAATAATAATGTTGCTAAACTCAAACCATAATTGGCTTCAGCATGTTTTGGAAAGTTGCTTGATCAGGTTCTGCTCGTCCAGCCGCATTCCAAAGAAAAGCACGTTGTAGTTCAAAGATAGAAACAAATTGTTTGGCCTAAAAATAGTATTTACAAATTGGGATACAAAAAATAAAGACAAACCGCTTCGAGACAATCTCCGCCAATTTTCTCGCTGAGTTGTAGGAAACTGGCGAGTGGCTGTTCGAGATTGTTGTCGTATTCCCTAATGTGTGCCGGCGCTTCACCAGCCGCCGCCGATACCGCATTGCCTAAAAACGAAAGTGTAATTACAATAAAAATTTTGAATATTTTCTATCCTTTTTTATTTAAGTTCACTAATACAACCTTCTAAACTGGTGCCAACGCACGGTGTGCAGCAATCATAAATCGAAAGACCAAGATCAGCCCAACCGAGTGGTTTTTTATTTTTTGCATCATCCTCACTATCAAGCATATTAAAAGCTACTTTCTTCTGTGCCCGAGCAACTTCAGCCCGTTCTTTCTCTTTAATGAGAATACTAGGTGGACGAGTGAGGGTAGAATTAGCCGAAGAACTCGGCGGAGGAGGAGAGAATAAGCGTTGGCGTGGGATAACTCTAATTGGTGATCTAATAGCTTGTTGTTCTTCATCCGTTTGATTATCATAAACCGATCCAATGGGTGAAGCCGACATTTGAGCGGGAGATGGAACTCCCCCTTCAACGGTCGAAATTGGAGACGCTTGGGGTTGTTGGTAATTTCCGTTTACTTCATTTTTATAATGTTGAATAGGTAAAGCTTGGACTTGAAAATTTGACTCTGAATCTGGTAGAACATTAGCTATCGTCACCGGTTGTTTCATTGGAATTTGTTCCACAACCGCCTTTTGCAACTGAGGTTGAACTGGTTGAACAATCGTTGCTTGTGGTGAAATGGGACGAGAAACGATAGCAAAAGAACGATTGAGATTTCCATTGGGGGCCGGATACGAGGCACTCATAACATTTTCATTGTTATGATTGACGTATCCGATCTCAGTCGCCGAACCCAATTGAATTGCCGAGTTTCTAGATGGACTGGTAGGTGCCCCATAATATTGAGAGCCGATAGGAGAATGGGGAATCGGATCATCTGGAGGTGGTTGCGGTTGACGAACAATGGATGGATGACTAACAACTGGCGCCGGTTGGAGACTTTTGGCAATAGCTGGCGGGTGTCTGATGGGCTTATTTGGAATGGCATTCAAAATCTCCTCATGCACATGTCGGGGAATCAAAGGATGTTCTCTTGTCGGAGAGAATTGCTGATTCAAAGCGTGTTCCTGAAAGCTTTGAGATTTATGAACCGGGCCCGCCGATGGACCCAAGGGGCCAATGTAGTTGACCGGTGGAGGAGGTATTGGCGGAGGCCTAAGCGGAGTATAGAGTTGAGAAGGAATATTCTGAATTGGATATGGACGAGCAATCTGTGGTTGGGGTGCCCGGGGAGGTGGTGAGAAAGCATTTCGCTCAGGCATAGCTCTTTGAGTATGATACAGTTGAGGCATTGATCTAAACATGGGATTTTCTCTAGGTGGTCCCCAACTTCTATGATCCTCAAAAGTGCTCTGTGGACTTGAATATTGAAAGTCTCTAGCCGAATTGTCTGCAATCTGAATTGGAATGACTCTTTGTTGCTGTGGGGCAGAGAATCGATCATTCTGCTGCGCGAAATTTGGCGAATCTTGTGGGAAATTTTCATGTTGCCCTGGCTGAGGAGAATAAAACGCGTTAGGTTGCTGACCGTTGTAGTGATTATTCCAAGTATTTTGCTGGAAGGAATTTCGAAAACCATTTGGCTCATGAAGAACATGGGAATCAGATTTCGTTTTGTGCAAGGCTCTATTGTAAGCTCTATCTAAAGTTGAATCGTTTTCAAATTGACTGCTAAATGTCGAATCCAAGTTGGCGGATTTATGTTCCCAAGGGTCAAAATCTTCAGCAACTGTTTGCACATTATTCGGGTATGGATTATTATTAGCTCCATGATTATATTGAGCACGATCGTCATAACGGTTATTCAATGTCTCAACCTGCAATCGTTGTTGTTTGAGCTTTTGAAGAAAATCGTCCTCCTTGAATGACCTTGGAGGCGGATCCCCATAATGCACAATGGGTCGGTTATTGTAAACTGGCTCATCGAAGAATGTACCATTGCCGTGTTCTAGCTGATATCCTGGTGAATGAATGCCATTAGCATAGTTCGGTTGGTGAATATACTGAGGTCTTCCAATAGGCGGTGGGTACCGGTTCATGTTCGGTGGTGAGGAGGCCCGGGAAGAAAGCTGGCTATCTACCGAAAATTGATCGACAGAGCTAACAGAGGCGGTCCCTGTCTGTGGCTGACCAAAGCGGCGGCTGTCCTCGGCCGACTCCCGTAAAGAGTTCAGTATGAAGGTACCCGAGGGACGAAAAAATGAGCGCAGATCGTTCAGATCAGTTCTAAGTAGTTCAGATTGAGCACTCGAGGCTAATGAGTTACGATCGTCGTCTTTTTCAAAATTTGGCAAAGCGTTTAAACTGCCAAAAGACTTTATGCTCGAGTTGGGATCAACATGAGTGAGAGAACGATAACTTCGAGGAGTGCGGGTGAATGGACGTGGTGCATAAATGGTTCGTTCCATTGGCAATCACCAAGCAATTAACTCATGTTCGTTATGAAATACTCCGGGCGTTGCCTAAATCGACTGAGTCAAGCAAGTCTGAAAGAAGAAAAATCAAGTAGACCAATCAAACCAAAAATTTGAGTTAAATCCCTATATCACTTATCTATTCTTAAGCGTTGACCACAGCTTTTTCTATTTCCGACTTCAAAAGTCCCTTATTCCATGCAGTGGTCAACTGTTTGTAACACAAAACTATGCGAAGGATGAGCTCCTTTGATTTAAAAAAATCAAAACAGAAGAAATAGGAAAGAGCTCGGGAGGACAATAAAAAGTAGGGCAAAATAAGTAAAAACTCCGCGAACAGAGCAGAAGTGCCGGGATGTATCAAGGAAAGAGATTTTCAGTGTGAGGGCCAACATTTCACAAGGGACTACCCAAACAACTGACGCTCTCGTTTTCGATCCATGCCTACTCCGGCTCTAATAGGCAATCGTATTTCATAGAGGGCAAAGCGATTAAAAAAAATTTGTCCTTTTTTTCAATTACGTCAATCTCATAACACAAAACCTGAATTTCCAAGCGAAACTTCAACCGGCTCATCTGATTTTTTCGACTTCTTAAGGTGCTGGATCTGGACTCGAACATACGAAAGTATTTTCGAAGGTTTAGATTTAATACGAGTAGTTAGCGATGGTGGAGCCGACATTTTAGAAATTTTTGACTGTTATGGACAAAAAGACGATGATTCTATTGCGATGATTTAGGCGAAGATTCACCGCCGACAAAACAAAACAAAAAGTCAATTTTTTTTTTGCATGATGAAAATTCGTACAAGATCACCTGTGTTACTCATAAGTAAGCTCAAAGTCGTAGAATGTTTCAATCGAATTGTTAGGCTAGTCACAAATAATTTTAGGGATTTTGCTGTCGACATCAAAAAGGCAAAGAAAATGTGTTACGATCAGCGCTAAAGAGGACTAGTTCGGCGCTGGTGTTCTCGATATTTTTGGTTCCAAAGAGGCAAGTGAAAGCGCAGGATAATCACCAAAGCTAACAAATTAGTCTACAGAAAACGCATTTTTTTCAAGCAGCAGTGAAGAAAAAGGTCACCACAACATTCGGTGAACCTTTTTCGAAACCTATTTGTATTATATTATAATTAATGGTACTTTGGTGGTTGAGAGAGGTCACTTTTATCCTGGCTTAGTTGGATCTAATGTTTTGAGTGGTTGTATTGATACTTTTTATCTACCTATTCTAGAATAATCAAATATCCTTATACTTTCAAAGCATTTAGACCATTCACAACATCTTTCAAGTTTCATATTGCCGCTTTTATTTGATTTTCAAGTGCAAGCAGCTTTGAGGTAGCGTTTGGTAGTTAAGGTATATGAGATTAGGCTAGAAATGTCAAAAATTTACTAAAATACTCAACAATCTATTAAGCATGTTTGATCATCGTAGAATAGATAAAAGATATCAATACAACTACTCAAAACATTAGATCCAACTAGGCCAGGATAAAAGTGACCTCTCTCAACCACCAAATTACCTGTAAAAACAAAACCTTGGGTTTTGGCCTAAACTCACTTAAAGTAGCCGGTTTCGGTGGAAGAGTCGGCTTCGCAGCCCCACAAGCCTCCAATCGAGACGCCACTTTCTCGAACTTCTCGATGAGCTTCGACAATTGATCCATGTAGGCCTCCATCGCCTAAAATAAAGAGATTTTCGAAGTTTTAGACAAAAACAAGAAGCAGACAAAGAAAAAAAACTATTTCCTCACTTCTTCATCATGAATAACGAGTGAACCAGTATCAGAGGTTGGCTCAGAGACCACAACTTTAACCTTCTCGCCAATAATTTCTACATTTTTTTCAAAGGAGGCTCTAGATGAGCTCCTACTACCCCAGCAACAAGACATTTAATAATTAGAAGCCGAATATGACAGGGAATGTGTACGTCCAAAAATGAGCCGAGTTTCGCGAAAAGATTGGAGAGCCACTTGACGCTTTTTTGAGCACTTGCTGTTGTAGCTGCTCTGGGCGAACAAAAATGGGAAGGGAGAAAGCCGGGGGCAAATAGATTGGAATATGAATCTTTCAGTGGTCTTCGGGAAAAGGCCCCACGAGAAAACAACGACTATCACCCAAAAACTCGTGGAATCAAGCTGGTTTTTGCGGATGAAGCGGGGGGAAAGTTTAAAGTAATGAAACTCGGGCAAATGTGGATGGAATGACACTTGGGGTGGATTTGTGTTGAAATGCAAACATGAGAGTTCGCTTCTCGCGAGGTGTTCTCGCCGCTGGCTTCCCTTTGCGCAAATGGTTGTGTCAAGCCATGAAATACTAGTTAGTATTTAAAATCTAATTTAATTAATTGGCAAATGCGGGAGTGGGACAAATGCGACCTTTTGCACCTGGACATTTGCGCACCTTTTTCTAGAAAGGCCTAGGAAAGGCGAGAGCTCAAAACAAGAAGGGACGTATGCGTAGATTCCGAATTTCGACAAACAGATTTCGCTGACACGTCAAATTTGGACAAAAGGCAAAAACTACGCAATTAACGCTTTTCCGCAGTTTTTGCCCTTTAGCCCAAATTTGACGTGTCAGCGAGGTCTGATTTGTCGAAATTCGGAATCTACGCATACGATTCCCTTATATGGAAGTATTTTCGAAATATTTTCGAAGCTCTACGGCCTTGCCTAAGGCCTTTTCCAGCAAAAAAAAGGTGCGCAAATGTCCAGGTGCGCAAAAAAAAAGGTCGCATTTGTCCCACCCCCGGCAAATGCAATTAAATAGCACAATTTTAATCGTTTTTCTTTTCAAACTTTGAAAATAAAGGTTAAATTGAAAGATGTCAACAAACAACAAGCTTAAAAAAAAATAAAACACTCAAAATAGGGGAGCTGGTCAAAACAGCGCGGTGTACAAACAGCTTGTGGTTAAGTTTATTTGTGTTTCTTATTTTCATTGGATGTAGAAAAGAATTAGCTAACTGCTGAATTTCGAGCCGTTTAGAACAAATCTCGGATGAGAAAATGCCAAAAAACGAAAAAAAGGGCTCAAAAAGAGGTTAACTGAGCTTTTCTCGACACCAATTCTGTTTTAAGTGATCCCAAAGTATGCAAAATGTAGATAATTTTATTCTGCATCCAATAAGAATAAGAAGCACATAGAAACTTAACCGCGGAGGGGCTATTTTTGCCGTCGCCCTGTTTTGACCAACTCCCTAAAAAAGATGTACGAATCGTTTTGATAAAAGTAAAAAAAGTTGCTAAAAGAAGTGCTTTTAGCAAAACTCTAATAAATAACTAAAAAACGGTTTAAAATCTCAAATGAGAATTCAGTGCAAGACGGCAAATCGTAGCCGTATGAAAAATCTGAATGACACAAAAAGAATCGATCCTAGAGTGGCATGAGTCATGCCCGCGGGTGAGTGGGGAAAGCAGTGCAATTACGCACAAAAGACGATCGATCGCCGGAAATTTCTTTGTGTCATCAAAATTTTCAAAAAGCAAAAGACAAGGCAAAATTTTCAAAGCCAATCTCCCAATTTTGTTGTTGTTCTAACTTAGGTTTGGACAAAAAATATCCCCAACAGCTGACGGGATTTTTGGCCAAACCTTTGGGCCAATAGGATATGGGTTGTTGACCTGATCGGAAATCGCTTTTTTGGTTCAATTAGAAGAAAGCAATAACAGAATAATGTGATCAAGGGAAATTTTAGGTTGAAAAGATAAGTCATCAATTCCAAATTTGAATCGGCTACAAGGGAGGCCTTTAAACGTTCAAAAGTGATGGACAAGTAGAGAAGATTTCCAAGAATGAGTCATTTAAAATAAAACATGTGGTATTTCGATTGTTAGTAGAGTTTTTCTTAGGATTTCGAAGATTTCATAGACCAACCGGGGGACCGGTCAATCGATATAGGAAAGAGGGTGAATGGACCAAGAGGGTTAGAAAAGGGGAGAAAGATTGGGTGGGGGAGGGGGTTAGGGGTTGAGAGGGGGTCAACAGGATACACACGACCCACCCATACCCTCTCCCAAGGAGTAAAGAGCGACCAGCTGCTATTGTGGGCGCAGAAATTACTACAAAGCCCTTGCCTCCTTATGAAACTGAAAGTGAAAATCTTATTTCTTGCTCTAACACTCTTGTCTTTTCTGAGTGTTTATTGTAAAAACGATTTTTAGATGTAAGTAAAGGATAAAAGGATTGTTAGCAAAGGATAGTGGGGTTTTTCTGGACTAGATTTTTCTCTATTACTCAAAGAATTTGAAAGATTAAAGTAATGTCTGAACGAGTAAGCCAGAAAGCGCGTGTTTATAGGAGCTCAAAGTACACAAGTACGTTTACATAGAAATCTTATAACTAACGATTAATAGAATACTAATAAATTTAATACCTAGCATTGCCAAAGTCAGTTTGCTAGAAAATAACTTTACTGTTCAAAAGGAGTTTATCATAATTAGCTAGCAAAAGCAAAAGGAATGAAGAGTTTAAAATTGTTTCAAAACCTTTGAATTACCAATTTGAAACTTGTTAAATCTTTAAAATTTACATCAAATTTATATACAAAAATCAAAGCATGAAAGAATGGGTGGAAATCAATGAAAATCAATGAAAATCAATGAAAATCAATGAAAATCAATGAAAATCAATGAAAATCAATGAAAATCAATGGAAATCAATGAATGGAAATCACATCATTGAATTGTGTGCCTTTTTAGAAGTGCTCCTCCACGACGAAAGGATCGGCGAAATCTCGAACGATAGGCACATTTTGAGAATCCTGAAATAATATCATAGTTGATTGTTTTGATATCATGGTTGATATCATCATTAATATCATAGTTAATATCATAGTTGATTATTTTTCCCAATACCTTGCGTTCTCTTTTCTTCGTCTCAATGCAGAGAATGCCTTGCGGACTGAGGCGTGACTCGACCGATGACAGCTCGCACTCTTTCGGCAACTTGAATTTCCTTTTGAAAAACCTGGAAAGCACAATTGTAGCAAAGTTAATACTAATAGAGAGATCAGTATTTTTACAGAATCTACAGTCATGGACAAAAGTCTTTTAACATTGGTTTTTAGAAGTTTGTTCTTTGTATATCTTGGTCCAAATCCGACCAATTTGCAAACGGTTAAGAGATTTAAAGAGCTTATTATCTCTAATTTTAACATTACAAAAAGATGGATTTAACAATTTATCAGGTGTCATGAACTTTTTAATAAAACAAAAATTGGGCCAAAAATTGATGGACAAAAGTCTTTTAACATCGCAGTTTCTTCGTGAAATTTTCTGTTTTGCCTATTGACTTCTGGTTGCTAACACTGATTTTTTAGATGCCCGGCGCCTACTTATCAACTCCGGACAAGGAGAAAATCGTCGAAGCTCGAAAAAATGGAATGTCTAGAAAAGCCGTCGCTGAGCTATTCCGCTGTACCGAAACAACTGTATCGCTTGTTTTCTCCAGGGCCAAGCTCGCGGGAAACGTTCATCGTGCATCAAAAAGTGGACGTCTACCAGTTACAACTTTACGAGAAGACAATGCGCTCGTTCTGGCCCACAAGAAGAACCCAAATCTGAATGCCTCTGATGGCGTGGCTATGGTGAAGCACCAATTTAACAAAGAAATTTCTCGAAAAACAGTGAGTCGACGCCTGATTCACGGTGGATTGATGACTAGAAGGGCCTCCAAGAAACCTCTGATGGTAGCTAAGCACCGGAAGCTTCGTCTCGAGTTTGCTAAGAAGTATCAAAGTTGGACGTCGCACGATTGGGCCAATGTTTTGTTCACCGACGAATCGAAAGTCAATCTTTTCACCTCTGATGGCAATCATTTGATACGGAGACCAATCGGACAACGTTAAATTTGTTGGCGAATCGATCATGCTATGGGGTATGAACTCCTATAGAATCTACCCTACATTTTAAAGTACAGTACACTAAAATAAGCTTAGTCTAGATAGATATTGTAGTACTAACAATAAGTATTGTCTTTATATTGCTTTTGGTTTTATTTCCTCAACCCACTTTGTCACTGATCCAAATCGATTCTCGGCTTCTAGATGTTTCCCCTCAACAACAATTTTTCGGCCTTTCGTTTGCACCTAAATCATTTGTTATTTTGCGCGTTAATCATCACCAAAACAATTTTGATAAAAATGAGAATCAAGTTGTCTGCTGTTTTATTTATAAAAACAGTTTAAAGCTAGAGCTTTGAAACTAGAACTAGGCAACATTCCAATTTCCAGCTAGAGAAATTCTTGGAAAGATATAGATTTAATAATTATAAATAATTAGAATTAATCATAAATAAATAAATAATAAAATTAACTAAGACTTGTTATTTTTACTTTAATTTTTAACTTTAACATTTAAAAATGAAATAAATACCTTTAAATCAGAGGGGTTGAACTCGTGCACATCTAACGTCACCGAGTATCGTCGGGGAGTGTTGCAAACCTAAGATTTTGAATTGAATTGTTGTTTTAAGCTTCTAAGGGTCTAGATACTGTAAAGAATCAGTCAATAAATAGCTTTAATTGAGAATAATTGAAAGTTATGAAGTTTTTATGAAAAATTCAACATTTTAAGTAAAGAAAGCTAATCTAGAACTAATTTTAGTATTAAAGAAGAAGATATAGAGTTTTTAGTAATCACAGGGTTAAAAGTAATTTCGTCAAAAATTACTCTAGAAAATTAAATTGAGTTTAGCCTAATTTTGTTAGATTGTTCACTTATTCACTATTTCAACAACTCTTTTTAGGTTTTATAACTAAAACTACGAAAAGATTTTTGTGAATAGGTCATTCGCCACGGACTCGCGATCGACCATCCAGTTTGTTGATAATCAAATGGGACAAAAGCCATATTGAAATTCGTTTTTGATGTTTTACTTGAAGATCGACTCTGAAAGCAAATTCAATTTAAATACCAAATTGATAAGCTTATCAAAGAAAAAAAACAGAAATCCGTACAGTAAAGGCGGGGCCATAAAGGTACGAATCGGTCACAAGAGATAAGGAAGAGTTATTCAAATTCAGTAGCTTTATAGTAATTGGAATATAATGAATTTGCTATAATATTGTTTTAGTTTAACTATATTTCAGCTAAGTGATGCTACAGTCCAGCTAATTACTGCTATAGTCTAGTTACAGCCAAGTTACAGTCCAGCTACAGCTCAGCTACAGCCCAGCTAAGTACTGCTATAGTCTCGTTACAGTCCATCTACAGCCCAGCTACAGCCCAGCTACAGCTCAGCTACAGTACTATTCCATACATGATCTAATATCACTGTAGTATTTCCTGAAGGGACAAGGGACTTGAATAAAGCTTTGGCTTGTGCTCTCCTAAATGCAAAATCTTTGGCAAACGTCCCCTTTTAAGAGCCCCCATTACCAGAAAGCCTGAAGCAGTAAAGTACCAACAAATAAATTTTAAAACGAAATGAACCAATTAATTTATCTTTGGCAAAAACAATTCACAACTTTTCACAAAAAATTCACAACAAAGAGTTTCAAAATGAACTTAAAATTGCAAAACCTTTTCTCTTGACTCTCTTGGTTGAGAGACGGGAAAATGTAGGAAACACAAAGGCTCTGAAAAAAAGTGAACATACAAAACAAAATTTTCAAACAACCCATATCAGTCTTTGGCCCTGTAAAGTGAAGACTCGTAAAGTCTAGAGAATTCTATTGTGTTCAAATACTAAATGAACATCAAAAAACATATTACCAAATGAACAGGAATGAAATCATAGCCAATTTTTCCTTACAAACAGATGAACAATTTTTCACCCGACAATTGGGCGAGAACTTTAACATCGAAAAAATAGCAATTACGAAAAAACAATGCAAAAACTTTGATCGATAATTAAAAAATGTCGGAAACGGTCGTCTCGAGCTTTCCATTTTTGAAAACCGTTTTGAATTGTTCGGGAATCGGTAGTTCGATAAAATCACCATCAGGACCTCCGGGCACAAGCAAATTCATTTCTGAGCTCTAAAAAAGAATACGTTTTTAGAATTGTATTGACAACCAAAATGAGTAGAATAAAACCCTAGCAGGAAAATAATACCTTTGAAGTGACGATTTCCGCTCCAACGGAAGCCTCAGACAAGTAGATTTGACATCCGTCGGTTTTTTGAATTGACACAGTCGGTAGTTCTCCAAGAGTCTAAATTTTACCACGTCGTAAGTTTCCACAATTCAAAGTAAACCTGTAGTTGAATCGATTCACAGTTGATCGTTTCAACTTGCGCCACGATTCCATCAAAAACGACGGCCGTCTTTTTGCACTGATCCAGCGTCACAGAGTTACACTTTCCATTGATTCTAGAAATTTTCCAACCATGTGCATTTAGTTGAACTATTACCTAACGGTGCATCCCTCACATTGGAAGATGTAGACGGTGTGCTTCTTGTCGGTGACATTCACGGTTATGTTCGGGTCACTATTGAAGTACTCCTAAAGTAATGCAATTATTAAAGTACCACGCCCATTTGACTGATAATTCATAAACAAACACCCACCACATTCCATTGTCTTCCATCTACAAACTCCATGGAGGCCTCCATCGCCTAAAATAGAGAGATTTTCGAAGTTTTAGACAAAAACAAGAAGCAGACAAAGAAAAAAAAACACCGAACAATAGGACCATGGTCCTAATCAACCCCTCCCCAAAGGGCTTAGGACTGGTCCCTGTTAGAGACTGGTCCAATTTCAACCCCTTCCCAAAGGGCAAGAGACTGGCTTGAATTTGTCAAAGCTTAGAGAACGATAAGAAGCAACCTAAAAATCAGTCACATTGTACACACTTATCACTAGAAAGCAACAATAACAACAAAACAACAAATAAAAACAAAAACAAAAACAATTGAAAGGGCAAACCGTAAAAAGCCCAATTTAATTTTCATTAATGTCATTGATTCAACGAGGCACGCTTCGTAACCTTGTTTCCCGCCGCCCAAATCAATTTCATCAATAATTGAGCAACCACCACATTACCGCCAAACGCTTCTGGATGACCAACGTTTCCGTGGCAAAAGAACAAAAGGCGCACTTGTAACCGTCGGGCGCGCCGTAAGCACACAGAAATTTTGTCTTTCATGTCCACTGATCGAACTGAGACTTCATTTGCTCCTTCATCAACACATTCCGCCAATTGGACAAGGAAGACGGCCGTTTCATCACAAGCGTAGTGGTGTGTATTGTTCTCCTGCACCGATTGAGATACATACGAAATTGACCAACACACAGCATATTCGTGGGGAGGCCTGACAGATTGACGTTGGAGTTCTCATTGAAAATCCAGACGCTCATGAACTTTGAAGCCACCCAATGAACAATCGACTTGATATCGTTTTGCCACAAAAACGCTTTGCTTTTGGACCAAACGCCCGAGACCTGTTTTCTTCTGTCGTTCGCTTCGGACCCACGGCAAGTTCCACGTCGAGTTGCGTATTGTGAGGGTTCGGCCACCCCAACCCTGTATGATTTCCCCACTTCGCAACGTTTTCTTGCGAAACCATCGGAATCATCTCTGCTGACTTGAAACTTTGTGCTGCAACATCTTTGAGACGTCATGCAAATTCAATTGTTTCTAACTAAACCGACGAATATGCCCCGTTTGTTTCCATTCTTGAGCAGTCCGCTTCGGAGCCCCAAAGCATCCCGAATCTTGATTCATCTCGTTTTCATTCTCCTTCTCGTTCCTTGAAGATTTCAAAGTCGTCCCCACTTTTCGAATACCGATACTCCTCCAGAGAACCGTGCGAATTGGCAGTCGCTCAGCCATCAGCCCTGAAAATAAACACATATTTATTTAAGACAAGAAACAAAATACAAAAACACTAGTAGGAAAGAAATAATAACTTTGCACAATGATTTTACAAGCTGGGGGTGCGGGATACGGTAACATAGTGCATTTTAGGTTTGGGCTTCTATTGGATGGCTTCTAATAGAGACTGGTCTTCTATTAGAATTATTACGGTATTTTCTCACTTCTTCATCATGAATAACGAGTGAACCAGTATCAGAGGTTGGCTCAGAGACCACAACTTTAACCTTCTCGCCAATAATTTCTACATTTTTTCAAAGGAGGCTCTAGATGAGCTCCTACTACCCCCGCAACAAGACATTTAATAATTAGAAGCCGAATATGACAGGTAATGTGTACGTCCAAAAATGAGCCGAGTTTCGCGAAAAGATTGGTGAGTCACTTAATGCTTTTTTGAGCACTTGCTGTTGTAGCTGCTCTGGGCGAACAAAAATGGGAAGGGAGAAAGCCGGGGGCAAATAGATTGGAATATCAAGCCATGAAATACTAATTAGTATTTAAAAGCTAATTTATTAATTGGCATATGCAATTAAATAGCACAAGTTTAAACGTTTTTCTTTTCAAACTTTGAAAATAAAGGTTAAATTGAAAGATGTTAACAAACAACAAGCTTAAAAACAAATAAAACACTTAAAATAGGGGAGCTGGTCAAAACAGCGCGGTGTACAAACAGCTTGTGGTTAAGTTTATTTGTGTTTCTTATTTTCATTGGATGTAGAAAAGAATTAGCTAACTGCTGAATTTCGAGCCGTTTAGAACAAATCTCGGATGAGAAAATGCCAAAAAACGAAAAAAAAGGGCTCAAAAAGGGCTCAAAAAGAGGTTAACTGAGCTTTTCTCGACACCAATTCTGTTTTAAGTGATCTCAAAGTATGCAAAATGTAGATAATTTTATTCTGCATCCAATAAGAATAAGAAGCACATAGGAACTTAACCGCGGAGGGGCTTTTAGCTGTCGCCCTGTTTTGACCAGCTCCCTAAAAAAGATGTACGAATCGAGTCATTTAAAATAAAACATGTGGTATTTCGATTGTTAGTAGAGTTTTTCTTAGGATTTCGAAGATTTCATAGACCAACCGGGGGACCGGTCAATCGATATAGGAAAGATGGTGAATGGACCAAGATGGTTAGAAAAGGGGAGAAAGGATTGGGTGGGGGAGGGTGTTAGGGGTTGAGAGGGGGTCAACAGGGTACACACGACCCACCCATACCCTCTCCCGAGGAGTAAAGAGCGACCGATTATTGTGGGCGCAGAAATTACTACAAAGCCCTTGCCTCCTTAAAAGTTTAAAATTGTTTCAAAACCTTTGAATTACCAATTTGAAATTTGTGAATTCTTTAAAATTTACATCAAATTTATATACACAAATCAAAAATCAAAGCATGAAAGAATGGGTGGAAATCAATGGAAATCAATGAAAACCAATGGAAATCAATTGTGTCAATTGTGAAAATCATTTGTGAGTTGTGTGCCTTTTTAGAAGTGCTCCTCCACGACGAAAGGATCGGCGAAATCTCGAACGATAGGCACATTTTGAGAATCCTGAAATAATATCATAGTTGATTGTTTTGATATAATGGTCGATATCATCGTTGATATCATAGTCAATATCATAGTTGATTATTTTTCCCAATACCTTGCGTTCTCTTTTCTTCGTCTCAATGCAGAGAATGCCTTGCGGACTGAGGCGTGACTCGACCGATGACAGCTCGCACTCTTTCGGCAACTTGAATTTCCTTTTGAAGAACCTGGAAAGCACAATTGTAGCAAAGTTTATTAATACTAATAAAGAGATCAGCATAGCATCTATACCGGAGAATCCAACCGGACAACTGTTATTACATTACACATACAGTCCGACAAGCTAGATTTTGTAAAAACTACTTACTACTACTTACTACTATAGTCACTCCTATAGAATCTACCCTACATTTTAAAGTACAGTACACTAAAATAAGCTTAGTCTAGATAGATATTGTAGTACTAACAATAAGTGTTGTCTTTATATTGCTTTTGGTTTTATTTCCTCAACCCACTTTGTCACTGATCCAAATCGATTCTCGGCTTCTAGATGTTTCCCCTCAACAACAATTTTTCGGCCTTTCGTTTGCACCTAAATCATTTGTTATTTTGCGCGTTAATCATCACCAAAACAATTTTGATAAAAATGAGAATCAAGTTGTCTGCTGTTTTATTTATAAAAAAAACAGTTTAAAGCTAGAGCTTTGAAACTAGAACTAGGCAACATTCCAATTTCCAGCTAGAGAAATTCTTGGAAAGATATAGATTTAATATAATTATAAATAATTAGAACCAATATTAACTAAGACTTGTTATTTTTACTTTAATTTTTAACTTTAACATTTAAAAATAAAACAAATACCTTTAAATCAGAGGGGTTGAACTCGTGCACATCTAACGTCACCGAGTATCGTCGGGGAGTGTTGCAAACCTAAGAATTTTGAATTGAATTGTTAAGTTTTAAGCTTCTAAGAGTCTAGATATTGTAAAGAATCAGTCAATAAATAGCTTTAACTGAGAATAATTGAAAGTTATTAAGTTTTAAATGAAAAACTCACCGCTCCTTTCCCAACATCAGCCTTTTGTAGCTCATCATAGTGCATATCAGGAGCATCTTTGCCACTTGGCGCAAACATCCTAAGAATATCTTCGTAAATACAAGATTTTATGTAAAGAAAGCTAATTTAGAACTAATTTTAGTATTAAAGATGAACATATAGAGTTTTTAGTAATCACAGTGTTAAAAGTATATTCGTCAAAAAATACTCTAGAAAATGAAAGTAAATTTAGCCTGGTTTTGTTAGATTTTTCACTTATTCACTAATTAAATAACTCTTTTTAGATTTCATAACTAAAACTAACTAAATCTACAACTACGAAAAGATTTTTGTGAATGACCTGACCAACCACGGACTCGCGATCGGCCATCCAGTTTGTTGATAGTCAAATGGGACAAAAGCCATATTGAAATTCGTTTTTGATGTTTTACTTGAAGATCGACTCTGAAAGCAAATTCAAGTTAAATACCAAATTGATAAGCTTATCAAAGAAAAAAAACAGAAATCCGTACAGTAAAGGCGGGGCCATAAAGGTACGAATCGGTCACAAGAGATAAGGAAGAGTTATTCAAATTCAGTAGTCCTGTTCAGTAACTTTATAGTCATTGGAATATAATGAGTTTGCTATAATATTGTTTTAGTTTAACTATATTTCAGCTAAGTGATGCTATAGTCTAGTTACAGCCCAGCTACATCCCAGCTACATCCCAGCTACAGCTCAGCTACAGCTCAGCTACAGTCCAGCTACAGCACTATTCCATACATGATCTAATATCACTGTAGTATTTCCTGAAGGGACAAGGGACTTGAATAAAGCTTTGGCTTGTGCTCTCCTAAATGCAAAATCTTTGGCAAACATCCCCTTTTAAGAGGCCCCATTACCAGAAAGCCTGAAGCAGTAAAGTACCAACAAATAAATTTTCAAACAAAATAAACCAATTAATTTATTATAGATTAGTAAAAATTTACAACTAAGAGTTTCAAAATCAACTTAAAATCGGTCACAAGAGATAAGGAAGAGTTATTCAGATTCAGTAGCTTTATAGTAATTGGAATATAATGAATTTGCTATAATATTGTTTTAGTTTAACTATATTTCAGCTAAGTGATGCTACAGTCCAGCTAATTACTGCTATAGTCTAGTTACACCCAGCTACAGTCCAGCACAGCCAGCCACTCATCACAGCACTAAGTACTGCAAGTCCGACAGCCCAGCAAGCCAGCTAACCAGTACAGCCCAGCTACAGCCCAGCTACAGCCCAGCTACAGCACTATTCCATACATGATCTAATATCACAGTAGTATTTCCTGAAGGGACAAGGGACTTGAATAAAGCTTTGGCTTGTATCTTGTGCTCTCCTAAATGCAAAATCTTTGGCAAACGTCCCCTTTAAGAGGCCCCATTACCAGAAAGCCTGAAGCATAAAGTATTAACAAATAAATTTTAAAACGAAATGAACCAATTAATTTATCTTTGGCAAAAAAAAAATTCACAACTAAGAGTTTCAAAATGAACTTAAAATTGCAAAACCTTTCCTCTTGACTCTTTTGGTTGAGAGACGGGAAAATGTAGGAAACACAAAGGCTCTGAAAAAAAGTGAACATACAAAACAAAATTTTCAAACAACCCATATCAGTCTTTGGCCCTTGAAGTCTATATATGGAAATGAAAAGGTGAAAATATTTGATCGGCGACTCTTTATGTAGTGAGTGTCACATGGGAAAAGAGAAGCGAAGAGGAAGAGAATTGAAATCGAAAACAGATTTCTTTTTCCCCTCTCCAACCCCCACCCGACTTTTACCTATTTATTTACATAGTATGAAGAAAAAAAAAGATAAACCCCTCTCCTAGGCCCTTGTTTTCAATTTCACTTCTGAAATGCAACAAAAAACCCCTCTTGCTTCTTGTTTTTGAGTTCACCGCTTGTTTTCAGTTTTGTTTTTCTTTCCTTGTTTTTCTCATCTGCCAACGTGGATCCAAATCTCTTCTCTTCTTCAAAAAAATCAAAAGAACTATTATTTCCTAATCTCTGTCTTCACAACAAACCTTTGCAAAGCTAAAGTTACGAAATTTTGACTCTGTTGATTTGTCGATTGTAAAAGGTTAAAAAGCTGACAGGAATTAAGAATGATAAAATTTTTAAAAAAGACGTCATATGGGCTTGTTTTTAACAAATAAGACTTAATATTTTGAAAGATGAAGCTTTCAAAAGTGTTGTGAAGAGTGGACAAAAACTATGACACAAATTGTGAAGTGAAGACTTGTAAAGTCTAGAGAATTCTATTGTGTTCAAATACTAAATGAACATTAAAAGACATACCATCAAATGAACAGCAATGATAGCAATCAAATGAACAGCAATCATAGCCAATTTTTCCTTACAAACAGAAGAACTCGAATGAAATCATAGTCAATTTTATAGAATTGAGCTTTTTTTATGTGAGCTGTCTCAAAAATTCTTTTGAAATGATAATTCTGAGCTACTGGCAATGTTTTGTCTTGAATACAACTCCATTCAAAGTTGTATTAGCCAGTTGTTAATGATAAATATCATCTACTGGGATCAATTTCTTTTCGCTCAAAACCCAGAACACATTGAGCTCAAGGCTCTATAAAGCTCAAGCCTCTATAAAGCTCAAGCCTCTATAAAGCTCAAGCCTCTATAAAGCTCAAGCCTCTATAAAGCTCAAGGCTCTATAAAGCTCAAGGCTCTACAAAGCTCAAGGCTCTACAAAGCTCAAGGCTCTACAAAGCTCAAGGCTCTACAAAGCTCAAGGCTCTACAAAGCTCTATAAAGCTTTGTAGAGCTTTAAACCATAATACAAATATGCAAAGCCTTCAACTAGTTCCGAGTTTTCAAATAGAGCCTAATGTTTTCGAATATCAATTCCAGTGCCTCTTCGCTTAGCCAGTTCAGTAAAACAACAGAGTTTAGAAACTTCAAACATTATCCTTGAGTTAAATCATTTAAAAATCCGGTTCAAAGATCGACTTTTACAACTCTACACTCCTTTTTTTTCTCTATTAATTACAAATAGTCTAATAAATTCTAACCATATTACGGATGAAGGAGTGATAAGGCTGCGAAAAGAATCGGTGAAGTGTGTGACATTCCAGGAGACACGATTCTACACACTGAGAAGATAGCGTGGCAGACTCATGGGGAATTGATTTTTGCAAAGATTCAATCTATTTGAAGTTAATTTTTTTAATTACAGAAATTCTTGATCTTCTTTTCTGTAGATTCATAAAATTATCATTTCATAACATCATCATTTTACTTTTCAAAATCGAAAATTGTAAATCCGCTAATCCGGGACGCTATTTAGGCTAACTTTCAACAAAATATTCATTTTCTTTTTAAGACAATGATTTAGCATTTCTAAAAACAGCTCAAAATGGGTAAACGAGGTCGTTTCATTTGTGGTGGAGTGGCAACAGCGATTGGCATTCTCGGTGCCCTTCTCATTGCCGCCGGTCTCGTTGTCGTTCTCAAAGTGATGCCTGATCAGATCAAGGACGGAATCAAAAAGGTTATTACAATATTCGATTGATGCTTACCATACTTACAACAAAGTCTCCTATCTTTCCCATCAAATTTCTTCATCAATAGTATTTTTTCAAATATACCTCGATTTTAAGCTTTTAAGCTGGTTTTTAGCTTTTCTTAAATTAAATAGCCAATTTGTTTTTAGGACAAACAACTAATCAAGTACAAGAATGGGACCTATAACGATTACACAAAAGATTGGGTGTCTCCAAAGTACATTCAACGAATGCAGTATTGGGTTTACGACTACAAGAATCCGATTAGCATCATCAATCGAGGACAACTACCTGACGTCGATGAGAAAGGACCGTACACTTATGTGTGAGTAAAACTTATGTTTTTAAACAAATTCTTTTAGTCTATTGAAATTAAACTCTAAAAATAAGGAGAGTCTATTTTAAAAACTCATAATACCTAAAAGTCTATGTTTTCGAAAACTCAAACAGTTCAAGCAATCTTTCAGCGAGGACACCTTCAACGACATCACTTGGATGAGCGACGATAACACGATCCTCAACTATACACAGGTAAACTTCACTCTTGGGTAAATAGATTTTTGTTTTGACGTTTTGACCGTTTTGACACTTTGATCTTTGAAAATTTGAAAGGAAAGTCTAGTCAACATGGTTGTTACATAAAGATTGACAAATAAATAACAATAACAATCGTTTTCAGACTATCCGGTATCGATTCGATCCCGAGCAATCGTGTCTTGGCTGTGATCCGTATAAGGACACCGTCTTGGTGCCAGATATCAGTTTTATTGTGAGTTATGAAAAGTACAAATAAAGCAAAGACTAGAGTGTGTTCCAATTAGTAGACATTTGATAACCGGCATTGGATAACCGGCATTGATAACCGGTATTTGATAACTGGCATTGGATAACTGGCATTGGATAACTGGCATTTGATAACCGGCATTGGATAACTGGCATTTGATAACCGGCATTTGATAACTGACATTTGATAACCGACATTTGCTAACTGACATTAGTGCAGAGCTAAATAAGTGTTTCGTTATCAAATGTTCAATAACAATGTGTTTCTAGTAATGCTTTTTCTAAAATGCATCTATTTGAGAAAACTATCAAACGTCAAACGCATCACTTTCCATTTGATCAGCCCAATTTTTGTATGAGGAATCACAAGGCTCAGTCAATTGTACATTGAGATAATCTGATGTAAACTAACGTTTTGACTGCAGTATTTTTTTTTTGCTATAGATCCATTTAAGAAAAAGCATCACTCGAACGGAAGCAAAGTGAAGCAAAGTTTCATCAAAATCCATTAAAACTGAACAAAATTACTTATAAATCACTACTTTTCATTGAAATTCATCAAACTAAAGAAAAATTTCTTATAGATTATTTTCTAGTTAGCACTCGAGCAATTCGGTGAATGTTACAGCTTTTTTGGTAGCTTCAATCTTTCACATCTTTGCGGTTTGTTTAGTTTTTTCAATTGTATTGGGTTGGTGAATTGAAAACTGCGGGCTATTGTCATATGTGACAGTTTGAGCACTTTCTTCAAAAGAAACCCATTTTGGTGTCAATGGAAAAGTTGTAGAGAATCAAAAATTAGGCTTATAGCCAAATTTCCAAAACGATAGCTCGAAAGAAAACGGGCCAGCCCGTGTGCAATGTACAAGGGGGGGAGGGGGGGGGAAAAAAGAAGGGCCCAAATACAACGAGAGCAAAAGAAACCGAAGTTCTTAAACTATTGGGTTGGTGAATTGAAAACCGCGGGCTATTGCATATGTGAAAGTTTGAGGACTCTTCAAAGAAACCATTTTGGTGTCGGAAAAGGGGAGAATCGCTTTATCCAAATTTTCAGAACGATTCAAAAACTGGTTTTCAAGAAATGCCAAATTTACGAAACTTTCACAAAACTTGCATTTTAAGCGAAACTACTAAGTGTATCTTTTTGGAAATTTGGCTATAAGCCTAATTTTTGATTCTCTACAACTTTTCTATTGACACCAAAATGGATTTCTTTTGAAGAAAGTGCTCAAACTGGGACATTGGGACATCTCCAGTCCTCCATTTTTGAGTCTCACACTTGTCTCAAACACTTGTACTGGGAGTTGCTGGATAGCAAGACGACCGTTAATGCAATCAAATACAGTGGACTGTTGGGAAGTTCTGGATAATGAGTAATGAGCCTGAAGAAGAATAAGCCCTCCAAGTCAAAGATCGTTCTCATCCACGACAACGCGCGCCCTCATATTGCAAAACTGACTCGCTCTAAAATAAATAGCCTTGTTTGGGAACTTTTGGCGCATTCCCCATACAGCCCGGACCTCGCCCCTTTTGATTACTATTTATTCCGGATCATGAGTAATGAGCTTGCGGGAGAACACTTCGATTCGGAAGAAGCAGTGAAAAATTGGCTTTGAAAGTTTTTCGATTCAAAACCAAAATCCTACTACGAAAGGGGAATCCGCAAATTGCCTGTAAAATGGGCAGAAGTCGTCAATAATAATGGAAATTATTTGGAATGAATTCATGGTTTTATGTTGAATAAATTTTAGTTCAAAGTCCCGCAGTTTTCAATTCACCAACCCAATACTTATCATTTTCTAATTACCATTATTAACACTTGACCAACTTTAGATCTCCCCGCGGTTCAAGGTTTCTATGATAATGATTTGGTACCATTGCTAGCCGACGCCATGGATCTCTTTGACACGGGACCCTTTGTGAGAGTGGTTGGTAACAATCAGTCATCGTCAAAATTTTCCGATCTGTTCTCAGATCACTTGTACTTTTAAAGATGCTCAATCTCAAGATTTCCCCTAATTCAGACGATCGACCAGCTTCTCATCTCTGGCTATGAGCCAAAAGTCTACGTCTCTTTCCTGCAAAATGTCTTGAACATTGTCATCGATGTTTTCAACATTCTCCTGCATGATATTATCAATCCCCTTCAACACGCTCACATCGAACCACCGCAAAATGTCAGCTATGGGGTAGCTAAAGGTTTTAATTCATTCTTAACTTCAAATTCCAGCAAACTCTCTTCTACACCAGTCCCCATTACATAGTAACCACGGGAAAAGATAATTACAAAGAAGTGGGCTTTATCAAAAGTTTCACCATGGAGGACCCGTTCAACAAAAACATCACCCTATCCACAACGGGAACAACGTTACCGGAACAATGGTATTTTAATAGTATTCTGAGTAAAGTACAATATTTACTTATTTCCTTTCCATTTTAGGTGGTCTAAGTGCAACGGCGATACACTTAATTCAATGAAAGCAAGAACAGTCGCTGGAAACAGTAAGCTTAAAAATATGTAGATATACAAAAATTCAGCCGGTGACTTCTACCCATCATTCTTGGAGAAAAAAGATGTCGTGCCGATTTATGTGGACTCCATTTGTCGGTACGTTCTTGACCAAGTAAAAAACAAGAATGGCTAAAGAACTAATGTGTTTAGCAATAGTTTAATTGTTGTTTGACAAGAACAAGTACAAGAACAAGAACAAGTACAAGAACAAGAACAAGAACAAGAACAATAATGTGAGTGTCCGAATGTTAGAGACTTTCTGGTTGTCCAAAAAAAGCGTCAGCCAATGCGGGGATCGAACTCAGCTAGGGTCGGCTCGAAGCCAATTTGAGAGTCCAGCGCTCTAGCTAACCGGTCTACGCATTCCCCTCTCCAATTAAACACTTTTATCACCTCTCGGCAAGCAATCGTACATCAAATTCAGATCAATTCTCATGAAATACCAGAAAGAGGTGACATATGAGGGAATCGACGCCTACCGTTTCGTTCTCCCCGCCGATGAGTTCAATTGGGAGTAAGGCTAAACAATTTCACTTTTAACTCAATTCATTTAGTCAACCGGAAAACTGTGGTTTCTGTTTCCCGCTGAAACACGATTATTTCGATAGAAATCAAGGAGATCATAGCTATCCAAATGGAATAATGGATCTACGAGGATGTCAGGAAGGTAATGAAAATTTTTCAAGGCTTTTCAAGACTTAAATCCTTCTGATTAGGCAATCCGGTGGCTATTTCAAAGCCGCATTTCTATGAGGCCTCGGATGTGGTGAAGAATTTTATCCCTCGTTTTAAGTCTAGTGACGATGACAACGTGTGGATGGATGTCGAGCCGGTAAATCTTATCTTTCCATCACTTTACAATTGTTTTCAGCAATCAGGCACCATTCTCATGGCACATAAGAGAATGCAAATTAATCTCATGGCTAATCAATTCAAAAATATCAGGTCAGTAAGTTTAAGATATTCTCAACCGCTATTGGAATTAGTCTTCATGGTCGACTGGCTAAGATTTCTTTATCAAAGTCTAGAGGTCAAGCCCTAGATTCCAGAGGCCAAACCCTAGATTCCAGAGATCAAACCCTAGATTCCAGAGGCCAAACCCTAGATTCCAGAGGCCAAACCCTAGATTCCAGAGGCCAAACCCTAGATTCCAGAGATCAAACCCTAGATTCCAGAGGCCAAACCCTAGATTCCAGAGGCCAAACCCTAGATTCCAGAGGTCAAATCCTAGATTAATTCTTTTTCTTTTAGTTCTTTTTCCCATATCTATATCGGTTTTCCTAAATTTAGGACTTAGGCTTTATATTGTTTGTATTATTCTTGTGAATAAATGTCTATTTATAAGTTAACGTCTAACAAATCATTCCAGCAGTATGAAAGTCTTCATGCCTGGTGCGTATCCAATCTATTGGTTGAACGAGTCTTTCTATGCTGATCAGGGAACAGTGAGAGATTTGAAGAACGATTTGATCAACCCACAAAAGCTCTTCAAAATTATTTGCTATTCAGCGGTTGGATTGGGAGGTGAGCGATCTAAAGCTAATCAAACGAGGGCTCATTATCAGTAAAACGACAAATTCAAACATTTTCTCTAATAGTAGTGCACCGGTTTGCCTAAATTCCTCGAAATCTCGAAAAGCGCTTATGAGAATCTATCGATGTGCGGTCGAAAAATGTAGCTGATGATGAGATCTTGCGGATAATTTGAGTGTTGAGCTTCTGTGAAAACTTTAGAAGCTGTAAAATAGTCGTCAACTCGGCTCAGCGGAGTACTATTAGAGAAAATACGATTGGTAACACAGAAACAAGGCTTTTGTCTTGATTTCAGACAGAAACGAGAAAGGTTTTTGTCTTGATAATTTCTTAATCATTGATACTAAGAAAACTATAGCTTATAAACTTAATAAGCTAAAGATTTGTAACGTTTAAAAGTTTACTGTGATACATTTCACTAGTTAAATTTCTTTAAACTCAAATCTTTTAAATATCATAAGATCTTTAACATGAAATTCTTTTTGAAAGGCTTTTTTAAACATTAGCTTTTTTCCTAGTTCCTATTTGGTTACTGTATAGTTCCTATTTAGTTCATATCTAGTTCTTTTATAGTTCCTATTTGGCTACTTTATAGTTCCTATTTAGTTCCTATTTGGTTACTGTATAGTTCCTATTTAGCTCCTATTTGGTTACTGTATAGTTCCTATTTAGTTGCTATATAGTTCCTTTGTGGTTCCTATTTAGTTCCTATTTGGTTCCTTTATAGTTACCATTTGGTCACTGCATAGTTCCTATTTAGTTCCTATTTAGTTGCTATTTGGTTACTGCATAGTTCCTATTTAGCTCCTATTTAGTTCCTATATGGCCCCTTTATGGTTCCTATTTAGTTTCCTTTTTTCCTTTAATTTTTCAAAGACTTTTTCAAACATTAGCTTCAAAGCTGTAGCTTTAAATTTGAAAGCAAATTTTCAATATAATAAAATTTCGATAGAAAATCGAATTGTTAGACTTTTTTTTTAAAGAGATTTTCTCTTTAGGTCTTCTCATTCTGATCTCAATCCTTTCCTGCTTTGGCATTGTGTTCGTTTCTCGTCGACAAAGCTCAAAAATCGATTAGTTTTCTCTTAAATTTCTTTGTATTTGTTTAAATTTGTATAAAATTTATATTAAAGCAGAGATATCTAGAAATAAAAAAAGAAAAAACAAAAAGAAATGAGCAGAGAACAGAGAAAATACATGTATCTGATCGAGAAAAGAAAAGAAAGTTTTGCTTTTTTTTGTTGACGCTATGCGCTCACCCATTTTTCACAAAAAAAAACAACATTTAGACTCTAAAATTACATGAAAATAGCTTGCAAACAACCGGATTGTACAAAAATGAACAAAAAATTGCGCGAATTTTAGGAATTTATTTGAATTTCTAAAATGAGATCTTAATTTAGGCAATAAAATTGATTACCGTATTTCTTTCGAATAGAAGACCGGGTAAAGAGTATCATCGCGTACTCCTGCGTAGCTATAGAGCGTGCTATAGAGCTGTAGAGCTGGAAAATGGCTCAAAAATCTGTTAGCTCATGTGGTATTTTTGAGTCATTTTCCAGCCCTATAGCACTTCATTGAAAGCTTTTATGCAGAAAAGAGATTTTAAAAAGGGTTGCTACGCAGGAGTACGCGATCATACTCTTTGCCCGGTCTTCTATTCGAAAGAAATACGGTAATTAAATGGAAAAAGTAGGAAAAAACAGGAAAAAACTTTGGAAACTTTGAGAAAAAACTGAAATTTCACTATTTTTATCGTTTTTCTTTAAGATTTTATCAAGTTTATTTAAAATTTAAATTTTTAAATCTTTAAATCTTTAAATTTTAAATCTTTTAAATGCTCATAAACATTCTCATCTCAAATTCTTATTTCTTTATGTTTCGAAAGCTGTTCCCAAAATGTTTTCATTTCGATTTTTCAATTATCTTCAATTACTTGTTGTTTTCAATTTTCTATTATTCGATTTTGGTTGGGGAAATTCCGATGCAACGTCATGATTGTTTTGGCGATTTGAAGCAAATTTCGTTTTCCCATAATATCAGCCGAATTGCACAGAGATGCCTGAAAAAAAAAATGGGAATACAAAAAAAAGGGTTTTGAGTTTTCGAATCACTTTTCAAGTTTAAAGCGGCATAAAGTTAGTGTAAAGGATCTATTGAAGTCATGGGGCCCAAAGTCATGGGCCATGGGGCCCAAAGTCATGGGCCATGGGGCCCAAAGTCATGGGTCATGCGGTTGATCTTCTGAAATACATATCTAACTAATCGATAATGTATTCGTTTAAAGTTTTAAAATTTTAGTCTAGATTGAGAAGAGTTCTCTAAAGCTTTGGAATAAGAGTTGAGCTTTAGATTTTTTAATTCTTCTTTTACTTTCAAAGTCTCACAATTAGGAACAAGTTTAGCAAGTTTAGCAAATGAAAAAAGCATTGGAAAAACGGGGTTTAAAGGTCAGATTCTGAAATGAAAAAGAAAAATAAATGAGAGAGTGAATATTGAGAGGAGAATGATGGCCATCAATCGATCGTCGGTGAGTGGGAGAAGACGCTGAAAAGTGAAAAGGGCAGTCTTGACTGGTTTGTCTCATTTTAGTGACAGGCTTGTTGATTCGTTTTATGTTTAAAATCAGTTCTATGTTTGTTGTTGATTCGTTCTATGTTTTAAATCAGATAGAGAAACTAGATTGCTGTATTTTTTTAGTTAAAACTTTGATAGAAGTATGTTTGGTTTACAGTCGAACTTCGATATAACGAACTGAAAAGATACTTCAAATTTTCTAAGTAGCTGGACAGCCGACCTGATCCAGTTTATCTGGGGCAGATTTTGAGCAGAATTTCAAATTCGTTGTATTGAAGTTTGTTATATTGAAGTTCGACTGTATTTCTTTTAATTAGTCTAATCGTTTTTTTTGAAATTAGCCTTAAAAAATCTACTTTTTCTACATTTAATCCGTTCAGAATTGATTGAAATCTTCAAATTTCTAATAAAAGTAAAGCCTAGATGAAAATTTCTTAATCAAAAAGCCTGCTTTTCCTTTAGAAAGTCTTTTCCACACAATCACTCACGTTTCCAGTCTTTTCAATCCGATTAGATGCAACGAACAAAGACAACATTCAGTCACAATCACTGCTATCATCTTTTTGAGATAACAACGCTGTAGTTGAAGTCTGTAGTTGACGTCTTTGTAGTCAATTGGCGTCTTTGTAGTCAGTTGACGACTTTGTAGTCAGTTGGCGTCTTTGTAGTCAGTTGAAGAATCCATTCATTTACAATCAATCACAACGAATCAAAGAAACAAAGAAACAAAGAAAAAGAGTAAAATAAAAGTGTTAGCAGAGAAAGAAAGATGACCCCACGACTAATCTAGAACTAGAATCAATGGGTGACTATTTTGCGAGAAATTTTTCAGTAAACTTTCTTCTATGTAAGTAAATCTTTATGATTTTAATGTAGATCTCAAAAATTTCAAACAAAATGACATCAAAATCATAAAGATTAGCTAAATTAGGCGCTAAAAATTGTCGCAAAGTAATCAGCCTCTAGAAAGAAGTACCTCTGGAACACCGAGCTTTTTGCAAGTGGCCACAAAACTATCGACATTTCGTTTCGCTTTTGGTGAGGAAAGTGGCTGAAAATGATTTTATTAGCTAAAAGTTTATTTTAAAGTTATCCATGAGAAAAGCTTTCCAGTCAGGTTTACCTATTCTTAGAAGGAACATATTGGAACCATATTGGAACCATATAGTTAAGAGAATTAAAATAGTTCGTTTGTTGTTCTAGTTCTCGTTTCTTAACCCCTTAGCTTATCTATTCTAGCTCCAGTTTCTCAGCTATTCGATTTCCTATTCCATTTCACCAAATCGAAATAGTTTTGTATTTTCTTAACAATTCTTTGGCATAAAAAAAAGCAATACCAAATTCTCGATTGGAGTCAAAACAGTGATACTCTTCCCCTTCAACGAGTTCGCAAAGTTGCAAAGATAGACTCCATCACTGAGTTGAGACGGAATGTTCTCCGAATCGAGTCTGAAATGTAACATGTAACATGTAACATTGCAACTTCTTTTATCATATAACTCACGAGACTCCAAGCCTCTCTTTGAAAGCTTTTCTCAATCCCTCAATGAATTGCGAGGTGCTCGTGCTCTCGGTACTCATTGACTGAAAATGAATAGTTTAAAGTTTAAAGGTTAAAAGGTTAAAAAAGAACAGTACTTACTTTTACTAAAGATTTTCTATCAGTTGTAGTTTTTGGTAGAGTTGTTGGAGTTGATGGGGGTTTAACAGTTGGACGAATAGACGAAGATGTACTTCCAACTGATCGAATCGAGTTTGAAAGAGTGCCAGCTTCTAAAAGTTGTTAGATTTCAAAGTTTAGCTATTCTTGAATATCTTATCTTTTCAAATTACTAGTTTAAATTGGTTAAGTATCAAGAAAATCAATGCTAGAAAGCATTATCTACCTTGTGCTCACCCCAGTTTCCCTAAAATTTTGAATATGCTAGGAAAGATGTTTGATGTTTAACGTTTACATTTCTTAAGCACAAAGTAAATCACTTACTTATTATTGGTACTGATGCAAGCGTCTTTTTCACTCCAATCATATTTCCTGTGACTGTTTGTCTTGTCAATGTTGATGGCCTTGTCGGTGGAGGCACTGGTCTCACATTTTTCCCCAATGCATCCATTTTATTCTAGAATTCATTTACAATTCTCAAATAAAAACCCTTCAAATACCTTGTTGCTTTTTAAAGATTCAAGATTTCCATTTTCCATTGTAGTCACTTTTTGTAAAGGAGCCACTTTCGAGACTGGTTTTGCGATCATTGTTGAAACAACTTTTTTCTGAGCTATCGTTTTCTTCTCAACATTGTTATTCTTCAAATCTGTGATCAATTTCGGTGGAGTGACGTTTATTTGAACTTTCGATAAGGTTTGAGGCTAAATTTTCATCATTTTCATCATTTTCATCATTTTCATCATTCAAATTTCAAATTTTCATTGTTTAACTAACCGTTTTCTTTTGATTTTGCTCATGAATTGATCTTTTTGTGGTGTTGATTGGACAAATCGGGAATGATGATGTTGAGTCATTGGATGATGAGGAGATTGTGTCCATCGGTGATTCTAAAATGTATCAGTTCAAATTGTCAGTGCAAATTTCAAGACTTTTTGAAGCCATTCTCAGAAGAGATACTCGAGTTCTCTAGTCAAAAATCTCAAATCTCTATTTCTTTTCTTTCTCTAGCTCTCAAAATCTTCAATCACTACTTCTCTTCTTTCTCTAGCTCTCAAAATCTTAAACCTCTACTTGTTGGTTCAGGCAGAATATTTATTAAAGCACCGGAGGGTTTATATACCGAAAAGTTGAGGGGGAAATGTTTTAGAAATGTCTATGTTTTGGCTAGGGAAATCGTGGAAAGATTTTGGAGAAAAAAGGAGGATTAAGAGGGAACATTGATCGATAGATTTCAAAGAGAAATAAACTTTATCGGAAGAAGTTCCGAACACTACTTTTCTTCTTTCTCTAGCTCTCCAAATCTCAAACCTTGACTTTTCTTCTTCTCCACTTCATCCAATCGTTCGTCGGATGACGGGGAAAACACCGAAATCTCTGTGATATCATCCAAGCCCGAACTCGGCAACTAAAATTGATCACTACTGCTATTAGCTCTTGCAATCATTTCAAAAAAAACCCTATTCGTGCTGTACAACCAAACGTGCTTTAAGAAATTCGAAATATTATAGAAAAGTTAAAGTGAAAAGGGCTATGAAAAGAAAGATGGGTGTGGCTGGGCTGTCTTCTGCCCCTAAAAGGATAAAACTTGAAACATTGGCAAGGTAGTGAAGGGCTATTTTACCAATTATGCTAAACACAGATTGTACTGGTTTTACAAAACATTTGGCAGTAACATTATCACTGGCAGGTACAGTACTGGACAATGAAATATGATATTTGAAAAAACGATCGTCACTTTCGCGCGTCTGTAACTCTCTTGTCTTTGAGTTTAAACTATTAGTGTTATACATTTTCTGAAAGCTCTTTTCAAGGGCTACACAATGGAAATATTAATATTTAGAAATACGGTAAAGACAAGGGAGTTACAGACGCGCGAAAATGACGATCATTGTCCAGTAGTGTACTTAATCAGTATTGGACAGTACAGAGATTACTCGATCAGAATCAATAGTTTCTTTAGTGAAAGAAGTTATTCTTAAACCCTCCAATGTCTCAGGTTCAAGCAAATGAAACGAAAAAAAGAATAGAAAACAAAAAGAATAGAATTACGTGTGTGTGTGATTGATCGATTTCTTTTTCAATGAAATCTAACTCGTAAGCGATCCACAAACTAAAGCAGATAGAGTGAGTGATTAGCAAAACAAAAAAAATGTTGAAGCAAATGGAAAACAATTAGCGAAAAGTCGGTAAAACATAAATTTTGTTTTTTTAATGATTGTTTCTCTATTTGAAATGGTTTACTTTGTGCTTAGAGCTCTGAAAAACATCCTCTCTAGTGTTCTAGTGATTTTCTAGTTTTGTTTTCTCAAATTCTGTAAGGAATCTTTGAGATTTCAGTATGCTAGAAAAGCTTTGTTTCTAGATTTCGCCAATCCTCAGAAAATAGCTGAAAAGCCTATCAAATCTATGAAAATTCATCAACTGAAAAGAAATCTGAAAGATGCCTTACAGAATTTGAGAAAACAAAACTAGAAAGTCACTAGAACACTAGAAATGATTGGTTTCAGAGCTTTAAGCACAAAGATTTCAGTATGCTAGAAAAGCTGTGTTTCTGAATATCGTCAATCCTCAGAAAATAGCTGAAAAGCCTATCAAATCTATAAAAATTCATCAACTGAAAAGAAATCTGAAAGATGCGTTACAGAATTTGAGAAAACAAAACTAGAAAGTCACTAGAACACTAGAAATTATGTGTTTCGGAACTTTAAGCACAAAGTACACCATTTCAAATAGAGAAAAAATCAGAAAACGTTTTAAGCTCTAGATTCTAAATTTCCAAGCTTACTTCCAAGCTTAAAGTACACCAGAAAGAACAAGCAAAAGCTCTACCTCGTGTGACAATCGATGTTCATCAGCTGTACTTGCATATCCACTATCGCTTCCTTGTCCGCTTGTTAGAGTTGCGAATCTCGTTTGTCGATTCTTTCTCTCAATTACTGGTGCCGAAGTTGATGGTTTACGAAGAGTATCACTGTCATCACTTCTAAAACAAATCACTTATGAATTGTTCTTAATTATGCTGAAAAAAAGCAACAAGCTACCATTAGAAAATTCCAGATTCGCATTTTTTTCTAAACTCTAATTTTCATTTTTCTGCTTTTATCTGCTTCAAGCTATTCACTTACCCCATTGTTTGTGTTCTTCCAATGTTGTGTGATCGAAGAGTACCAGTTGAATAGGCTGATCTATGTCCCATTCCACCACCACACTCAAGATCCATCCATTTAAAAACATGCTCTCTTCCCTAAAGGCATTTGAATATTCTTGGCTGGGTATAAGAACAATGGCTATAAGCAGCATAGCTACATGGCTATAAGCAACATGGCTATAAGCAACATGGCTAAGCAACTTGGCTATAAGCAACTTGGCTATAAGCAACATGGCTAACATGGCTATAAGCAAAGCTTAAGCAAAGCCAGCAAAGCCAGCAAAGCCAGCAAAGCCAGCAAAGCCAGCAAAGCCAGCAAAGCCAGCAAAGGCAGCAAAGCCAGCAAAGCAAGCAAAGCCAGCAAAGCAAGCAAAGCCAGCAAAGCAAGCAAAGCTCAAGCTTAGTTTCTTTCTTGAATTTCTGATATACTAAATGAAGCCAAGTTTAAGCCAGAAGCTTTACAAGTATTAGAAAATCAATGAACTTACTTTATTGATAATTTTAGCTGGTGGTGATTGCAACGGATTATCATCAATCATGAATACAAAAAGTGTTTTCATTTTTCGAATATGAAGAGGAATTTGTGTGAAATAGTTGCTTGATAGATCCAATGTGTTTAAAGTCAAGCGACATAATTCTAAATCATTTTTAATTCATAAATTCTATTTCAATTTCTATTTCATTACCAGATGGGAATTGATCGAGTTGATTCTTTCGAAGGTTTAACACTCGTAAGAATTTTAACAAAGCAATATCTGCGGGAAGAGTTCGCAAATGGTTGTAACTTATGTCCTGGAAGAATTCAAATTCAATCAATCATTCTAAAAAAAACGAACTAATTCTGTTAGAGTTGAAGATAGTTGTCGAATTTCTTTTGGCACTGTGTCAAGGCGATTTCCAGAGAGTAACAAGATCTCAATCGGTAAATCAAAGAGTCCCAATGGGATTTGTGTTAGATGATTGTTGCTAAAAGGGAGATCAAAGGATTATTGATCTTTTAAAGGTGTACAATAGATGTTGTTGTTGAAACAAGGCTTCACCAACAACAAGTTGCCAACAACAACTTTAACAAGTTGCCAACAACAACAAGTTGCCAACAACAACTTCAATAAGTTGTCAACAACAACTTCAACAAGTTCCCTACCTCAAGTCCAAGAACGTCAATCGATCAAGCAATGCTACATCAGAGGGAATCCTTCTCAACACATTTGCTCGAACTCTTAACGATTCAAGACATCGCAATTCGCAGATTCCTGCTGGTAACTCAGCTAATCGATTACTGCTTAGATCTAAAGAAATTTGAAATCTTTTAATTACTTTCATTTTCTACCAGCTGAAACAAGATCCGAGATGTCGTATTTGTTGGCGAGTCCTTGAGGGAATTCTTTCAGTTTTCTGCCTACTAGATTGAGCACTCCTGTTGCTTGAGCTTCGTCAAACATTCGATCAGTTGAACGGGAGAGAAGCTAAAACTTGTGAGATTCTAGAGATTGAAAAAACAGATTGTTCTTCATGAAGTTCAAGAAGAAGCTCAAGAAGAAGTTTTAAGATAAATTTCAGATTGAAAGCAACATTTCGTACTATAGGCTGGGATTGAATAAAGAAGATGAAAAATGAATATCCGCAAGTCAAGGAAATGAGCTTGATGGGTGTAATGGATTTTCGTGAATTCTTTTCCTTCTTTCACCTCTATTGACAGCCCGCATACTTTCACTTGCCGATAATTAGAATACACGGCTTGTGAAGAATATTTGGTGGTCAAGAAAAGAAAGAAAAAGAAATGGGTAAATGGGTAAATGGGGTACAAATGTTTACTATGGTATTTGGTTATTTTAAAATTTGTGTAAGATTGATATTCAATTGATATTCAATCATCAATCAACTATTAAAGAAAAAGAAATGAGTAAATGGGTACAAATGTTTACTGTGCTATTAGAATGCTATCAATCTGTGCTATTAGAATGCTTTACATCAATGCTATCAATCTCGAATATCTAGCATTATTTAATACGCATATTTAATACGAATATCTAGCAATTTGTGTAAGAATTATTCAACCAATCAACTAAAAAAAACAGATCGTTCTTGAATTCTTCAAGAATTTTTAAGCTAAAGTTCAGATTCAGAGCAAGATTTCGTACTAGAGGCTGGGATTGAATCAAGAAGATGAAAAATAAATATCCGCAAGTCAAGGAGTGAATATTAAAGTTTACGATAAGTGAGAAGCAAGTGATTTGACTAACTAGTTTTTTTTCTTGTAGATATGATAAGAGTCCCAATGGGATTTGTGTTAGATGGTTGTTGCTAAATGGGAAAAATTTATATAGTATTATTGATCTTTTAAGATGTACAATATGCTTCAACAAGTTTGTTGAACATTTTGTCTACCCCAAGTGATTAGACTAACTAGTTTTCTCTTGTAGATATTATAAGATGATGTAGATAAGAGTCCCAATGGGATTTGTGTTAGATGATTGTTGCTAAACGGGAGATCAAAGTATTATTGATCTTTTAAGATGTACAATCTTTTAAGATGTACAATCTTTTAAGATGTACAATCTTTTAAGATGTACAATATGCTTCAACAAGTTTGTTGAACATTTTGTCTATCTCAAGTTTTGACTAACTAGTTTTTTCTTGTAGGTTTGATAAGATAAGATGATGTAGATAAGATGGGTTTCTTGTAGATAAGATGTGGATGGATGTTTCTTGTAGAGAAGCTGTAGATAAATGTTTCTTGCAGAGAAGATGTGGATAGATGTTTCTTATAGATAAGCTGTAGATAAATGTTTCTTATAGATAAGATGTGGATAGATGTTTCTTGTAGAGAAGATGTAGATAGATTTTTCTTGTAGAGAAGCTGTAGATAGACTTTTCTTGTAGAGAAGATGTAGATAAATGTGTCTTGTAGAGATGCTGTAGATAGATGTTTCTTGTAGATAAGGTGTAGATAAATGTTTCTTGTAGATAAGATGTAGGTAAATGTTTCTCATAGTTAAGATGGATTTCTTGACTTACTGCAATTGTTATCAAACTATTATCTTATATTATAGTTAAATCGAATAGTAAAGCATAGATAAATGATCCATAAGAATCTACTTTTCAAAAAAAAAACCTTTAAAAATTGAGTTTGAATTGAACCCAGTAAAGTTGAAAAGATGAGGAGTAAACAAATGACACAAAATGGATAGTCGGCTCGATTTCCTATTGAAGGAAGTAGAAAAGAGGAGAGAAAGGGCAAATTGACGCCTAAAGCCTAAGAGTGGTGGAGAAGAGGGACAATTGGGGTGCTCACTCTGACCCCATTGAGGCGAAAGCCTCTGGGGGTCCTAGGGAGCCCTGCTGAGCGCCCGTACCAGTCTGCCCTTTACCCCCCACTCCTTATGGATATCCTGACAAAACCAATGAATGTGCTGATGCCTCGTTTCATCCTTCTCCATCAACCCCTTCCCTTTCTGACTCTGAATTATCTTATGCTAATTTTTGAACTCAGTTTGTCTAAATGTTTGCTTGAGCTTTATTTATAATTAAATCGAATTCCTATTGTAAAAGATAAGCTAAATGAAGCCTGGCTACGATCTGATGAAAGCTGAAGGCTTACAACTAGCTCAAGGGTTTCAATTAAGCTAATTGTAGCAGAGGCAGAACTTGTCATGCTTGGCTAAACTAGAATTTCTATTGTAAGGGCACTAGCCTGGCTGATCTGTGAAAGCTGAAGGCTTACAACTAGCCAAGGGTTTCAATTAGGCTAATTGTTAGCTAAGCAAGGCTAGAACTTCTCCTGATCTTGTTCTAGACTTCTTCTAGACTTGTTCTGACACTTTCTTAACACCTATTCTGGCTTTGTCCAGATTCTGGACCTTTTCTAGACTTGGCTTTAACTGGAGTGATTAAATTTACATTTGAATTAGCTTTTCAAAGAGTTCAAAACAATAAGAAAAGTAAAAACATACAGTAATCGTTACGTAAAACCAGTTTTTCATTAAGTAAATGAGTTTTGCTTAACAGAAAAAAACGATTTCGAGAAAATTGGGAAAACTAAAGTCCATCTAACCCGCCTATTCTCATCAAAAAATGCCGGAAATCGAGCTTTTAGTGGGTTCTTTTTAAGGGAAAAAGAAGGTTGACGTAAAGTTTCCAAAAAAGCTTGCAAAAGTTTTGTTTTAAAAGCTATTTTAAAGGGGGGAAAGTAGTACGATTTGTTGGATTGTTTTATTGACTCAGATGGATTTGAAAGAGTTGAAAGAGTTGAAAGAGAGCTGGGATAATAGAAATTGTCTTTTGTTCGAGGATTTGGTGTGAATATTAGCATTTAAGAGGTAAATTCTTTGAAAAAGCGTTTAAAAAGTTAATTTTTCAGTCGCAATACAATAAAGTGAGCTTTGTAAGTCAAAATACTTTAAGATTTTATCGATAAGCATTGAGTATTCACCTTAGATACTTGAAAATTAGAATACCGTATTGTCTCTAATAGTAGTGCACCTTTAGCTTTGCCTAAATTCCTCGAAACCTCGAAAACCGCTTATCAGAACCTATCGATGGTTCTGATAATCGGTCGGAAAATGTAGTTGATGATGAGATCTAGTGGAGGATAAGAGTGTTGAGCTTCTGGGAAAGCTTTAGAAGCTGTAAAATAGTCATCAACTCGGTGGTACCCTACTATTAGAGACAATAGTACTGAACGTTGCTTAAATTACTCGAAATCTCGAGAACCGCTTATCGGAACCTATCGATGTGCGGTCGGAAAATGTAGCTGACGATGAGATCTTGCGGATAATTAGAGTATTGAGCTTCTGGGAAAGCTTTAGAAGCTGTAAAATAGTCATCAACTCGGTGGTACACTACTATTAGAGTAAATACGGTATTCTAATCATTCAATACCCCTTAATCTCCTCTTGAAAACTAGAAAAAAAGTTACCAGAACTTTCTGTGAAATGAATAACAAAAATCAAACAAAGGTGTTAAACAAAAAACACGAAAAATAATTGTTATTAGTATGACCGGTCTTCTCCAATTCTATCAATCTCATCAGCGACTGATTACGATGACAAGTGGAGTGATCATTAAACTGATTGATCATTGATCTCCTTGATCAAACTCTCATTGATCCAACTGGATGTCCCTAAGGTAAACTTTCAAAAGTTGTAATCTACCGTATTCTCTCTAATAGTAGTGCACCTTAAGCTTTGCCTAAATTCCTTGAAATCTCGAGAACCGCTTATGAGAACCTATCGCTGTGGGGTCGGAAAATGTAGCTGACGATGAGATCTTGCGGATAATTAGAGTATTGAGCTTCTGTGAAAACTTTAGAAGCTGTAAAATAGTCATCAACTCGGCGGGGTGCACTACTATGAGAGAGAATACGGTATTCTAATCATTCAATAACCCTTAATCTCCTATAGAATACGGTATTCAGTTATAATGCTGAATATTACTATAAACAGATAAAAAGCTTGGATTTTGAAAAACATTTGTTATTATCTAAATGAGATTTCAAAGTATAGAACTTTTTAAATAAGTCTATTCAAATGTACTTTGAGGCTAAAAATGAAAACACAACCTTTCTAGAGCATCATTTGATTCCAACTATATTTGAAACTTCTGAAACAAACTTTTGAAACAATAAATACCCCAGAAAATATGCGTTTCCACTTTGAGCTCAAGACTTCAAACACTACAAAGACTTTTAAAAACTAGTACAACTTCAAGATTACATATAAGATACTTTGAAAGATCTTTGCTTTGAAAGATCTATTGATTTCAATCCAAAACAATTTTAAAATCAAAATACACCTTGAGCTTTAAATATTTTAAAAGCATTTTTCTCAATTGAGATGGAAAAAGGAAAAAGGATATGGAGAGATTCGGAAACGGAAACCTTTACGGTGAAGGAGATGGGGAAAGAGGGGAGAGCCTTTAGGGAAAAGAAACTCTTCTTTTCTTTCAGAGAAAGGAAACTTTTCTTTCCTTTAGTGAAAGGAAACTCTTCTTTCAAAAGAGTAACCCTTTACTCTCTCCTTTTTCCAAATGAAAAGAATCTATTGCCTTTTTCCTTCAAAAAAAACCCCACCAATCCTCAGGAAACAGCTGAAAAACCTAGAAAATCTATGAAAATTTATCAACCAAAGAGTTTTTAAGCTCAAAATTGCTCTATCTATTATATATAAAGCAGAAGAGACGTTCGTCCGTTCGTCTGTGCGCAGCCAAAGGGGTGGGGCTTAGATTACGCGGAAAACTCGAATGTTACTGAGCGTTTTCTGTTGATTATGACATATTGTTCTTAGAAAGTCATTGATTTACCGTATTTTCTCTAATAGTAGTGCACCCCAGCGAGGCGAGTTGGTGACTATCTTATAGCTTCTAAAGTTTCCACAGAAGCTCAATACTCTAATTATTCGCAAGATCTCATCGTCAGCTACATTTTCCGACCGCACATCGATAGGTTCTAATAAGCGGTTCTCGAGATTTCGAGGAATTTAGGCAAAGCTTAAGGTGCGCTACTATTAGAGAAAATACGGTAATAACAAAAGCTTTATTTGATATCTTTTAAAATGTTGAACAGAAAGCAATACTACATTATGCCTGCAATAGCAATACTACATTGCTACATGTCTAGCATTACTACAAAGGTACTATAAGTCCTATCAAAATACCGATATCGAATCCTGCTCTATAGAATTTTAGCCAAGACTGCTAACCATTTGCTCTAACTATAAGATACTTAATCTTTCTAAAATTGAAGCTAAAATAGCTCAAGAATGACTGCGACATTCATCTTTTGCATAAATTTAAATCCTTGTACGGAAAATTTAAGCAAAAGCCATTGGTATAGAGAATGGGAAAACAAATGTTGACATATGGAAAGAAAGGAAAAAAAAAGAGAAGTGGTCAAGAAGTCTCTAGGGAGCTACATTCAAGAACTGAAAATATCCATTCTCTGTGGTTGACAGCCGCTTCAATGGATCAACGATTTGAGAAAGAAATTTGTTGAATCGAGAGAATAACAGACAACAGACAAGATAGAGTACTGTAAAATTTGATTTCTTTTTCTTTTTTAAAGTTTTTAGCTACTTTTGGCACTTATAAAACGTCGCTTAAAGTAGTCGATTTCAATTTCAGTCAATTAATCAATCAACTAATCAATCAATCAGTCAATGTAACTCGATTTTAGCTTTTTTCTTTTGAAAAAGCTTTGTTGTGGATTTGAAAGGAAGTTTCAAAATTAGAAATTCCAAAATTAAATACTGTAATTGGACCCGCCTCGTACAGTCACGTAGTCGCAAAAGTTTTTTAGTATTTCATTTTTTCGTGCTCGTACTTTCAAAAAATGCGTCTTTGGTATCAAAAAATAGCCCTGAATTTCAGCTATTTTTTGATACCAAAGTGCGCATTGTAGCATAAACCAGTGTCGAGAAAAACGCTTCCAAAGCTAGACTACGAAACGCTCCGCACCGCCATTATCTTTGATACCAAAAAATAGCCCTGAATTTCAGCTATTTTTCGATACCTATGCGCGCATTGTAGCTTAAACCAGTGTTGAGAAAAACTCGTTCAAAGCTAGGCTACGCAACGCTCCGCATTGTCATTATCTTTGGTATCAAAAAAATAGCTGAAATTCAGGGCTATTTTTTGATACCTTACCGCGCATTTTAGCATAAACCAGTGTCGAGAAAATCGCGTCCAAAGCTAGACTACGCAACGCTCCGCACCGTCATTATGTGGGTGCGGTACTATTACAGTATTTACGGTAAGCTATTTCATAAGATGTCGAAGGTTTAAAAGAAATTTAAAAATGTAGAAAGTAACCTTTAAACATTATAAGAAACATTGTAAGGAAAACTTTACTAAATCTTAGCCAGCTCTACGTTCTGAAAATCTCTCTAACTAGCTCGTTTCCATATTTCTAGTCCAAGTAGGAGACGACAAATTGGTTTGCATTGAAGTGCAGAGAAATGGGTAAAAGAATAAAAAGGGGATAAAAGAGAGAAGACTGGCTAAAGCTTTCCCCAAAGCACCTGCAGAATGCGTAAGAGAAAAAGACAATGCATTCAGAGAAATCCACAACTTTTCCTTTCATATTATTAGGTTTATGTGTAAGTTTTTAGCTTTCAAGCTCAAGAATCTTCTATCAAATTTCTATTTTAAACTATTATAAAAAGATCTATAATTTCTCTATAAAATAGGTTTTAAGAGAAAGCTTAAAAGAAGAGAAAGCCTCAAGAGCTTTAAGAGAAAGCCTTAAGAGCTTTAAGATAAAGCCTCAAGAGCTTTAAGACTTTAATAGTAACTTAAATATTGAACCAGCTTAACTTAAGGTCAATAGTAACTTCAAAATTAAGCCGGCTCAACTTTTCGTCAATAGTAATTTGAATATTAAGCTGGTTTAACTTTAGGTCAATAGTAACTTCAATATTAATCCAGTTTAACTTTTCTAGAAAGATTAGAAAACCTGTTGTTGCTTTTGGAGAACTGCAGGTAATGGGATGTGATCTCGGAGGGGATCCCAGGCATTCGTTGTGGAAGACGTGGCTGCTTGTGGAGCCACTTAAATTCACTTATTCATCTTTTTGACTACAATAGTAGTAGATTCATTTATAAACATTTAAAGGCTACCGAGATTCGAAAAAAATTTCAGCTAGCTATTATATTCAACAATATTGACCTTTTCAAATCTTTTCCTTACCTATAGCCGTTTTATTTGAGCCATTTGTTGTCGTGACATTTGCACTGCGCCTCTTTCGAGACCATGTACCCGACATTTGACCCGTTTGATCTGAAAATTTGTAGAATTGTAGAAATTTTGAATTTTTGAAGTAAAACTATAAGAAAATGATTGTAAAAAGATTATTTTAAAGTAAAGCTATAAGAAAATCATAATAAAAGCATTATTTTAAAGTAAAGCTATAAGAAAATGATTGTAAAAACCTTATTTTAAAGTAAAACTACCAGAAAATCATCATGAAAAAACATTATTTTAAAGTGATTGTACTGTATTGTAAAGTGACTATCAGAAAATGATTGTAAAAACCTTATTTTAAAGTAAAGCTATAAGAAACTGACTATAAAAACATTATTTTAAAGAAAAACTATAAGAAAATGATTGTAAAAAGATTATTTTAAAGTAAAGCTATAAGAAAAACATCATAAAAAACATTATTTTGAACGAAAAAAGAAGAAAATGGTTGTAAAAAGATTATTTTAAAGTAAAGCTATAAGAAAAACATCATAAAAAGATTATTTTAAAGTAAAACTACCAGAAAATCATCATAAAAAAAGATTATTTTAAAGTAAAGCTATAAGAAAATGATCAAAAAGCATGAAACCTTACCCTCTGTTTTCATAAAAGAACCGTGTAAACAATGTTTATAAAAGCAACAATCATTTTCTTGATAAAGATAAAACGTAGCATTGAAGAGATTTTGAAAAGTGTGAAGAAAGAGAAAAGATTTGATGGGGAAATGGCTTCGGAAATCGAGTCGAGAAGAGGGAAGAGGAGTGGAAAGGGAAGTGAGGAGGGGAAGTGAGGAGGGGAAGTGATGGAGGGCAACAACTGAATGGAGGGCAACAACTGAATGGAGAAGGCACAGATATCAAATCACAAGTCGTAGTAATCAAGTAATATGAAAGTCTTGAAGGTACCGTAAAGATACTGACAGTAAGCTTGAAAGTGTAGCCAGATCTGTAAAAGTGAACTTGTTTAGCTAATTTGGCTGGCTTAGCTTTAAAAAATTGATACTATATTAGTTTAATGTTTTTAAAAAGTACTTTAAATCTTAATTAAAAGTATTTTTATCGAATTTTACACTTCACTCAGACTTTCAACTCCAAAAATTCTTTCTTTTCACGAAAGAAAACTCAATTAGACACTCGAAAAAGAATAAAGTTGTAGTAGATTTAATAGAAAGATGTTTATTTTTAATCTTAACCACTTTTTAAAGGTTTAAAACTTTGCCTATTTTCGTACAACGTTTTAGTTTTCGATTAAAAAGTGTTTAAAGATTGAAAACTAAAACGTTGTACGAAAATAGGCAAAGTTTTAAACCTTTAAAAAGTGATTAAGATTAAAAAGAAACATTTTTCTATTACATCTATTACAACTTTATTCTTTTTTTCGAGTAGGAATGAGAATGAGGTGAGGAATTTTCGAGTAGGAATCAGATCCAAGCAAATCCCCGTGAGAACACACAGCTCAATTAGGGGAAAACAGCTGTCACCTCGCTTAGAAAAGTGAATAGCTAGGGAATAACTTTAAAAATAGATTCATTTACACGAATAATTTAGTACAAATAATACACAAGCAATATAGAAAAGAACAAAATCCTAAAAGAATAAAAAAGCTAACCGGGATTGAACCCTTGACCTTCCTATAATAAGATAAAGGGCTCTTAGCCAATCCGTCATGACGATCGATTACTAAGAATGTTTTTAAAGCAATATATTATAATGTCTAAAGTTAAGATTAAAAATAAGCATCTTTTTACATCTATTACATCTATTACAACTTTATTCTTTTTCGAGTAGGAATGAGAATGAGGGTAAATTCAAGCAAATCCCCGTGAGAACACACAGCTCAATTAGGGGAAAACAGCTGTCACCTCACCTAGAAAAGGGAATAACTAGGAAATAAATTTAAAAAATAGATTCATTTACACGAATAATTTGGTGCAAATAATACACAAGCAATGTAAGGAAGCAAAAAAATCTATAGATATGAGAAAAGAACAAAAAATCGAGTCAGGATTGAACCCATACCTCCCGACTAAGATAAACTCTTAGCCAATTCGCCATGACGATCAATTATTAAGCATAATCAATAGATTATAATGTCTAAAGCTTTGTGACTTTGTTTTTCGATAGCTGTAGATTTTAATCAAAGTAACTTTTATCTCATTTCTACTAAATGACATTTACAATCCCCTTCTTTAACCAAAGCTTTAATGAAATCTCTCTTAAAATCATTTTATTTAGTGTTGAGATAACTAGAAGTCTAGTTGATAGGGATAGGGACAAGAAAATGAGGTTTCATTTCTTCTCAAGGAGCCACAAGGGAATAGGGAATGGATGGCTGAAGGGAAAAGCTTCACGACGCAAAAATGACACTTTCTTTTAGCTTTTGAAACGATAAACACAAAACTTTTTGCTTTAAAGTTTATTGGGAAAAGCTTAAGCTTGAGTTTCTGAAAATTTTGATCAAAGGCTAATGTTTCAATTTTTTGTACTTTATTAAACTAAGTAAACATTAGCCATTGAAATATTGAATTTATAAACCCCACTTCTACAGCTCTTTCTTTGTTTCTGAATAAGAAGAGAAGTAAGTCAACTCAAACTTTTTGCTAAGTGTACTTTGTGAGAATTGCAAAACCTGCAATCAGCTGTTTTTTTTTTTTTGAAGATTTCGGTTCAGAAGAGCCGAAAGATATCTTTAAAGAACAAAAGCGAAGAAATGAGGAAAGAGCTGTAGAAGTGGGGTTTATAAATTCAATGTTTTAATGGCTAATGTTTCAATTTGTACTTAGTTTAATAAAGTACTTAATAAAGTACAAATTTAAACATTAGCCTTTGATCAAAAGCAAGAAAAGTAATTTAGTTTAAAAACAAAAAAGACAAAAACTTCATTTGAACTTTTTAGGTCGAGGTTAAAGAAAAAGATTGACAGTTTTCCCAGACGATTCCACTGTTTTTGGAAAGAAAAAAAAGAGAACGATGACTGAATGGATAAAGAAAAAGGAAGGGAAAGAAAGGGAAAGAAAGGGAAAGAAAGGGAAAGAAAGGGAAAGAAGGGGAAAGAAAGGGAAAGAAAGGAGAAAGGCTGTGTTTGGGCGGGTAAGTGAATAAACTTGGTCTTAGTCAGTCGTTTTTCTTTGCCCACCTTTCAATTTCTGCAAAAATAGCTCCATTTTCTTTTCGATCAATTGAAATTTGAACAGTTTATGTAAAATAACTGAAAAAATGAACTAAAGAATGCCGATAATTTCTTTTAATTAGATGTATTAGATGTATTAGATGTTAGATAATTAGATGTATTAGATATTATTATTAGATGTATTAGATGATAAAATTTACTGTAAGAAAGATAAGAAGAAAGGAAGAAAAGGAAGAGAAAGAAGAGAAAGAAGAGAAAGGAGAAAAGGAGAAAAGAAGAAAAGGAGAAAAGGAAGAGAAAGAAGAAAAAGAAGAGAGGAAGAAAAGAAGAGAAAGAAGAGAAAGAAGAGAAAGAAGAGAAAGAAGAGAAAGAAGAGAAGGAAGAGGAAGAGAGAGAGAGGAAGGAAGAGAAGAAGGAAGAAGGAAGGAGAGAAGAGAAGAAGAGAAAGAAGAGAAAGAAGAGAAAGAAGAGAAAGAAGAGAAAGAAGAGAAAGAAGAGAGAGACAAAAGAAAGAAGAAAAGAAGTCGATAAGATTTTCTTATAAATCTTGATAAGAAAATCTTATAGAAATCAAAAAACTTGTAAATTTTAATGAATAAATAGTATTACCCATTTAATTCTATTAAATACTCTTTTTCTTTACAATGAGAAACCAATAACAATTATGTTTGATAGCTAAAAATTGAGCTATAAACTATAAAAAATAGAGCTAGCTTAAATGTTCATTATAAAAGAGAACTCGTAGATTCGTGATAGTTAGAGAAACCTTTTAAATAGAATTCTTTCTTTTGCAAGTGTTCATTTTTTGAGAGCTTTTTGAGGGATTATATAGAAAAAAGAGAAATATTGGCTTGTCAAAATGGAAAATTAGTACTTTTGTCTTTCAAATGTTTTGTTGAAGATTGATTTTAGAGAAAAATTTGAGGGAAACCTTTTAAAATAGAATTCTTTCTTTTTTCTTTTTTCTTCTTTATTATTTATCTTTTAAAGTATTTTTAACATTGTTATTTACAATAAAATTCTTCAAAAAAAGAATAAATTGATCAAATTATTCAACAAAGAACAAAGTGATCGTTTTTTTTGTCAAATTTTTCAACTCTAACTTTTTTCAACTTCAACTTCAACGTCAACTTCAACTCTAACTCTAAGAAATAATGATTAAATGATAGAAGAGATGGTTGTTTATGTTAAAAGAGTTTCTCAATAGAATCTAGAAAACAAATACAAGTCAAGATCTAATATTTAAAGATTTTTGTTGTGTTTAAAAGTAGAAAAACGCTAGGAAAGCTTTAGTTCTATCATAACATCACATGTTACTGCAAAAAAATCGAGAATTGAGTACACTAGAAGTGCAATTTCAAGTACAAAGTACACCTTTTCTAACCTTTTCTTGAACTACACTACTGGACAATGAAATATCATATTTAAAAATGATCGACACTATCGCGCGTCTGTAACTCCCTTGTCTTTACCGTATTTCTAAATATTAATATTAACATTGTGTAGCCCTTGAAAAGAGCTTTCAGAAAATGTATAACACTAATAGTTTAAACTCAAAGACAAGAGAGTTACAGACGCGCGAAAGTGACGATCTTTTTTCAAATATCATATTTCATTGTCCAGTAGTGTAGTTCAAGAAAAGGTTAGAAAAGGTGTACTTTGTACTTGAAATTGCACTTCTAGTGATATTTCATTGTCCAGTACTGTATGTACCTACGGCAAGAAGAAAGTTGCGTTTCATTTTTATTCAAAGGAATGGAAAAGACTGTATAAAGATTGTCAGAAAGAAGCCTTTTAGTTCTTTAAAATTCACTAAAGCCTAATAAGTAAAACCAGTAATTTCAAGTAGGGTTTTTCGAGAAGAGAGAAGAAATGAAGAGAAATGCCTGAAGAGGC